ACATCTCCAAATCAACGTGCTTACATGTCAATCACAGCACATTTCATCACCGACAATTTTGAGCTTAAATCGTTGACCATTGGCATTCCCCGTGTTTCAGGTCAGTTCTTTCCAAGCCCTCTCTGCTTCTCCCCAACATACCTATCAAGCTCACATATTCCCTTACCTTTTAGGACAACATGTGGCTTCGAATTATGCTGATCTATTTGTAAAATACTTGATCAAGTATAACATTGTTGATTCACTCTCAACCATTACCGCTGACAATGAAAACAAGAATGGGAAGATAGCCAAACTCATTCACGAGTCTCCTGAAATCAAGAACTTCAATCCTATCGAGTCTCTCTTTGGTTGTGTTGCACATGTAATAAATCTTGCTGCTCACAAAGGCCTTGACGTCTTTGGTGTGGTTGAAGATGCATTAGTCAATCCCTCAGATGCTTCGAGTGGACCAATGGATCTAGCCAACCTAGTCGATCGATCCGATTCAAGTACAGCAAACCTTTCGACTATCAGGTCAAGATGTCACGGACTTGTAGTCTGGGTCCGTAGCAGTCCTCAGAGATCGGAGGCTTTTTCGAAGATTGTGAAGCTACTACAAAGTATTTCTTTAGATTCAACTGATCCAGCTGACCCAACCGATGAAACCGAAGTCAACACTGCTCTCCAATTCCTGGCTCCCAAACCAACTGAGAATGTAGATGAAATTGACCCGATCTCACAAGGAACTGCTGTAGCTCTGATCCCCGATGTTGAAACTCGCTGGAACTCCACTTTTCTCATGTTCCGACGCCTACTCCGCCTCCGCAAAGCTGTCCAGCAATTCTGTGAACGTCCTGGTGCTACGAAGTTTCAGCTGACTGATGTTGAGTGGACTTACGTTGAGCAGATGTGTAATTTTTTAGAACCACTGTCCGAAGCCACCAATGAGCTTTGCCGATCACGATTTCCTACACTCCACACTGTAATACCAATCTACATTGCCGTAATGGGTCGATTGAACAACGCAAGTCTTCAAACTTGATACTTCACTTGTGATGATTTGAAACTTACAAGAGTTTTTTTATTCAATCATGTGTATTTAGGTTATATCAACTTATGACAATGACCACTTGATTCCCGCTGCTCGAGTGATGATAGAGAAGCTTGAGACTTATTTCAAGAATGTTCTACTCAAACCCGGTGCGGTATGTGCAACTATCTTGGATCCACGACTCAAGATGTCATTCTTTGAGGTGTGACTTCTCATTTCTCAACCAATGAACTCTCCCCATTTGATGTATAACTGACATTGTTATATGTTTTATCTCTCGTTCTTATATGATAGGCCAAATCTGAGGTTTTAGATCGTTATGACACATCCCCGGCAAAATTGAAAGACATGTTCTGCTCCGAAGCCTTGAAGTTTGAATCTCCGAATGAAGTTGCACACCAAGCCTCGAAAACCACGAGTCAATCTTACTTTGGGGCCGAGATCTATGGGACAACCATTGGACCGGCTTTGTTCGAGAGCGAACTCAGCCGTTATTTAAGCAATTTAGTTGAACCTGCCAATGCCGACATTCTGCTCTATTGGAAAAGCAAGGTCAAAAGCTATCCAATTTTGAGTCAGATGGCCATGAAGTACTTGGCCATTCCTGCTACCAGTGCTCCCTCCGAAGGTGCCTTTTCAAAGACCAAGGTCATTCTGACACCTCAAAGGAGTAAACTCTCGGATTTGAGTGTAGAAGCACTTCTGTGCCTCAAGGAATGGTATCGTGTTTTTGGTCCGCTATTTGTATCGCCCGGTTGCCAGGCTGAACCCATTGCTATCATTGATTGATCATCTTTCATCTATCCCTCACCTTTTGGACCGATCAATCACAAGTTTCTTGATTTTTTCAAACTCACTTTCTTAACTCTCCTTAAACACTATTCATGATTCATCTTTTATCTGTACTTAAAGTTTTCTACTGATCGATCACATCAATTGTTTCATGCCGACCTCGTTTATTATATACTCTGTTTAAATATTGTTATTAGTTTACTTACTGTATCTATTCTAGCTCTCTATAAATGAATATATCAATTGTGTATAATCAACCTACCGGGTGCCGGTTCTCCGAGAAAAATCGGGGATCTGCCTACCCCAGCCCGGCTTCCGATCCTACGGAGTCGGATCGGGGTCGGGGACTATACAGTCTTTGCCCGACTACCGTACCGGCGGTTCGGTGTACCGGAGATCCCCGACTCCGCCGGAGACGGGGCTCATCCTGATATATCTGACAACGTCAGATGGCTTTCTGTAACGTCACCTCACTTTACAATTTGTCAGCCATCTACATTCGACGTCACCTACATACAGTCAAACCCGCGCACATGCATACCCGCGCACATGCATAACCAGCCAAAATGCATAAGTTTTGGTTTCCACCCAGCTGGTGCGGGCCAATTTTGTCATTAATTGCATAATTATGTCAAAAACCATAATGCATACTTCTTTTCAAGTCCCCAAAGTCATAATGCATGCCTACAAAGCGCCCCAGGATGTGTTTTTTTTCCATTGAACTCTGATCAAATCCTTTGCAAGTAGGATTTTGGCAACATCAGGCAGCAATGAGCCCTCTATGGGGTCAAACCGACCCCTAGTGGTGTTTTTTTCGGTGTCAAAAAAATATCTTGTCCTTGTACCCGCGCAAAATACAAACGTACTATTGCATAAACTTATACAATTTCAACAAAAACCCGTCATAATGCATATTTCAATGCATTTAGGCCAATATGCATACAAATATGCATTATGGGGGTTTATGCCTATTTGCATAACCCGCAATAATGCATAGCAAAAATTGTCTCCCCAATTTATGCATTAGCGCGGGTTTGACTGTACCCTTTCCATCCTTTTCACCCACGTTGTCATCGTTTTGTTGCCTTTCTCCAGCATGAAGGACAGTCTTCATTGCACCTGCATCCGCTGCATCAAACTGATCTGTACACTTGATAATGGTACCCAAGTTCGTGGCCAGATGGTTCATGCCGACACTCGCCAAATTCATCTTAACAAGTATGGAGAAGCACCTGACAACAAATTTATCTTGGAGTTAGCCAAAAACTTTGCCAATATGAATCATTCGAAGGAACCGGAACCCGACTATGCCTCTTCCAAAGCATCAGATTCCTCTGAATCATCAGAAAAACCATTCACTCAACTAGTCTGTAAGCAGTTGAATGTCTCGTTCATAACATTTTAAATTGTATCGCTGACCAGTAGAACAAATTCTTCAGTTATGGTGTCCTACTTCATTGCTTGGCTATATCTCGCTTGTAGTATGACTCGTGTCAATTGTCGAGTCGCTTGAGACTACCTGTTACAGATAATCAAATTAGCGTCTCAAACCCGTTTCGCTGATGGCTGGCCTGGTTCCATTCCGAAAGATGTTCAAACAATCACCAAGAAGATGGATCTGGACGCATCAATTGAGCGGTTCGTCTGCTGTCCGAAATGTTTCTCATTATACTCGATCGAAACAGCTCCGGGTGAATGTGGATATCAAGCTTTACCAAAATCCCGTGTCTGTGGTATTGATCTATTCGCCTCACACATCATACCCAATCTTCCAACGATCATCCCTACAAACGAATTACCTCGTCGCAAATATCGGAAGATGAAGAGACCGGTCTCAACATTTGTACTTCAAGACTTTCAGGATTGGCTTAGTTGGTTTTTATCTCAACCGGAAATGGAGGCAGCTATAGATAGTTGGTCAGAAGAATGTAATAAGGACACTGAAGACATCCACGATTATCTTCAATCACCAGCTTGGCGCGCCCTATATTCCGGTTTCAAAAGATCAAACGGTTCAAATCGCCAATTGCCTTTGGCATTCTCGCTGTTCGTGGATTGGTTCAATCCCCTCGGCAATAAGATATCAGGTCGACAAGCTTCAATAGGCCTCTTCGCTTTACACTGTTTGAATTTACCACCTCACACTTGTCACCTCATCAAGAATACTTATCTCGCTGGGATGGTCCCGGCTCCGAATCAACCGGACATGACTACAACAAGTCATGTCCTATCGCCACTCATTAGTCAAATGATTGAACTCAATCGCGGTGTCACGGTCCGAGCACATCGCTATCCAAAGGGACGTAAGGTGTATGTTCGGCTCACAATCCTGGTGGGGGATATGGTTGCAAACCACAAGGTGGCTGGTTTCACCTCACACTCCGGCCGCCTATTCTGTTCATGGTGCACTTTACTCAACATAGATATCTAGAAAATGACCGTGGGACGCAAGAGAACCAGAAGGGATGTTCTCGATGCGGCGCACGCCTGGAAAGAAAGCGAATCTCTGGCGGAAAGGAAGAAACTGGTCAAAAGCACCGGGGTACGTTGGTCTGAACTGGATCGACTCTTGTATTGGGATCCAGTCAAAAACGTCGGCTTAGGAATCATGCACAACTGGTTCGAGGGCGTACTCACCAATCACTTCCGGTACAGATGGGTTTTTGAGGTCAACAAGCAATTAGAAGACGAAGAACTCGAACAAGCAACTGGAACGATTGATTTGGATGCTCTTGGCGATGCTCTCGAAACTGGGGAGGGAGGGCTTCCACTGGATCTCATTGCGTCAATACTTCGATGTTTGGGAGAATTTAAGGTACATCAAGGTGTCACCCGAATTCTGAAGGGTGTGGGAACCGCTGCGAATGGAAAATTGAAGGCAAGCGAATGGCATGCCTTATTTGCGATCCACCTGCCTCTTGCGGCCATCGACGGGTTCCTCGGAAATTACGAATCTTATGCTAGTGGCCAATGTGATCGTCGCCTCTTGGAACTGCTCAAGAATTTCTGTGCTCTGGTAGAGTGCACTCATATTGTGGCTTCTAGATTGGTCAAGGTGGGGGACTCTGAGCAATTCAAGAAGGCCTATTATGATTATACGACTACATCCGAAAATATCGAACCCGGTGCTAAGATTAAACCAAACCATCACTATGCCATCCATCTGGCAAGTCAGATGGATTGGTGGGGGCCAATGTTGGGCGTCGCCGAATTTGCCGGTGAGCGTTTATGTGGATTTCTACAAAAAATCAACACGAACGGCAAAGTTGGTATGTCAGATATTCAATAAGCCTAATATGGACCACTTAACTGATTATGATTGTGGTTGTGCGCATATAGAACAAATGGCTCAAACGATAATGCGTCGGTTCTGTCACCTTCAGCGATTGATGGGCAAGGCTCCTCCAGAAATGAGCACGATTGAGAAAAAAAGTCAAAGGAATGTAGGAGCCGCTTTCGAAGTGGACCCAACGACATATGAGTGTCTTCTCAAATACTACCAATCTCAGGACAATCAGTGGACTGACTTCAGGCGTTTGCCTTATCCGGAAAACGCTCAAGTCTTGGGGCCGTTTGTTCGTGAAGTGATGACGCTTGAAGGCCGGTATGGAATGCGATACAGCAAAAAAAGCCCGAATAATATTGTGAAGTTAGAGGCAGGTGGGAAAATTACCTGGGGAAAGGTGCTCCACATCATACAGTTGGACGATCCGGCAGATGTTGTGGTGATGGTGCAAGATCTTTCAGAAGTTGTCAATGAGACACTTCGGGTTGTATTCAGGAAGTTGGGTATCACACGGGTGGTCGAAGATTCAAATATCAAATTTATCTCAGCAAGAAGCGTGGTGGCATCTGTGCCTCATCGCCCTCTCCCTGCTTGGGCAATGGGATTGCAAAGTCCGAGTCTCCTTCTTGTAGGGGTCGAGTCTGCGGTACAGGAGGAAGGGAATTCAAGAGCGGTCAATATGGATGTGGTCTACGTGGCTAACACGCCAGGTGATGATGCGATGGAGATCGATTAAGATCCGTCCATGAGTGGAATGATTATGTTTCAATTGTTGTTTTTCCTTATCACAAGTTGTTTTTCCTTATTGGTTGTCTTCTACTCTCTGCTTGTCTCAAAAAAATACAAGATATCTTGCGGTTACATAAGTTGAGCGGAATAGGACTAGGACCCTGTCAACATAAAGACGCGTGGGTTACCTTTCAAAAGGTGTAAGGTTCTTTTTAAAGCTGTCCCCTTAACCCCTGAAAAGTAAACGTGGGTGGTATTTCAAACCGGGGGATATTCTGATTGTCATTTACGTAGATGTCGTTCCACGTTAATGTATCAAAGGGAAGGCAGAAAAAGGGGAAAACGAGGGGGTATAAAGGTCGGGCTGATGGAAGCGAGCGAATTCCAGCTCAATCCTCAGAAAAGAAATATCGAAGTCGAGAATGCCTTCAACTTACCTCTCATGGGCAAATATGCCTGAACACATCTTGACCAACATATTTGAAAATATTCCTGTGGTTCTTCCTAATTGCGGGCAGGGATCTCAACCAGTGCACCTTACAAGAGTTTGTAAGCACTGGTACCAGGTTGGCATCCGCATGTGAGTTATATATATAAGTATCTGAACGATTCTTCCAAACCCATTTTGTTACTTATCTTTCAACCAACAGACTGTGGAGGAAGCTTCGAGTCAGCAGAGTAGTTTCTTTGATCAAACTCAACGTGACTGCACTGGCTCACCCCGATTTGGCCCAAAGAATCACGCACCTCTACATCCATGAAACCAACTTTTTCAGCCACATTTCCGAAAGCTATTGGGAAACTATCCCACCTCAAGAGAAAGGTTTCGCCGTTGACTTTGTTTGGCCTTCATTTTACCGCATGGACACCTGGCTGCCAAACGGATCCGCGTATCTGAAGCGCTAACACACTTCATGTCACTCCTACTCCATGTCTTGTTTTCTCAACATCGTGTTTCTTGAATTTGAACTCTAAGTTGTCCAGTTTTGAATAATTCGCAGGGCCACATCCAATGCAATTTGAACCACAACTTTTTTTATTTGATTTTTTTCCACATAGATCACAAACAGACCAAAACAAAACAAAAAGTATCTACACAAAATAAAAGCACGACATAAAAGAGATAGATGAACCACAACAAAAACAAAATGTAAAGGGAATCCAAGAACACTACAAGAAACCACCAAGATCACACACAGGCAGACAAAAACAAAAAAAAAGTATGTAAACGAAATAAAAGCACGACATGATCCAAACAAGAAACAACGCAACACCTCCCTCGCTTCATTTCTCAAGCATTGTTCCAAATATCCCACCTTCTAGCCCGCGCATCATCTTCCTTCTCTTCCATATCATCATCATCCACGTAGTATTGACCTCTGCCACGAGACCCACCTTCACCATTCCCAGCACCCTTCCCAGTTTCCCCTTCCTCAACTTCACCATCCCAATCGCTTTCATCCTCATCAGCCTCCATCCTGCCTTTAAGTTTTTGTGCCCGGCTCAGCGCCCCGCGATTTCCACCTTTTTTGAAGTCATTTGGATCCTCTTCAAAATCATCTTCTTCGATTGGTCCCTCTTCTTCATCTTCTTCTCCATCAGTATTCGCAAGGTCTATACTATCTTTAGCAAATTTCCCATCGTCTTCATCTTCTGAATCTACGTCGCTGTCCGTTGCGTGAGTGAACTCATGATCCAGATCGTAATCTTTCGTGGCTCTTCGCCAGTGTTTGTCGGTAAACTTCTGATCTTCAAGCTTCTCGTCGGGATGCGGTCGACCTAGGAGAGACTCAGAGGGATCCGGAAGAAACATCACTTTCCAAGCATCGGCGATGTCTTGTCGATCTGCGACTGGAAGGACGTTGTACCACTCCGCATTGTAGAAGTCGATTGGAAGGCCGCGAGGTGGTCGTGTCAAAGTTGACTCAATGGGATGTTTGGGGCGAATGCGCGTACGTGTCTGAATCCGTGTTTTGCTGAGCGTTTTGCTTAGGCGCATATGTTCGTCAACCCGTCGCATGAAGATCCCAGCTTCGACTGATTGATAAATTGGCGTCTTGACCACATAGACCTGGCGCTCGACATCAAACTCATCATCACTGTGAGCTTCGACGTGCTGCAACATCGATAGATAGCGAGTGGGAAAGCCCTTTGCACCTGCATAAGCAAACCGTGTGTCACGAAGCTAATGGGGTACCAATTCAGTATAAACCTTTTGATAAGTGTTAGGAAAGAAAGCAATTAATGACTAACGCGTTGCCGGCCCCTCTGACTTGTTTTTCTTGCTTCCTCTCTTTGATTGGCGCCTGATTCTTTGGCCTCCTTCTGGTACTTCTTAGCCATATAGTAATGTACATAGTGATTGTACGTTCGCTCGAGTAATAAGAGGTTGTGGACAAATTTTGCATCGGCATTTGGAAACACCTTCCCAGTAATCCACATTCGCAAGATTTTGATAGCACTAATCCGACAAGCTTCATTCCACATCGAGTCGGGTGCGTCTTCAAGATCAGGAGCCCAACAACAAATACCCAGCTTTGCTAGCATGGCTACCGAGTACCTGAGAAAGAAATCTTGTAAGTGAATAATTCCCTTTCCAACCTTTATGCGACCCGATTTGGCATCCCGAAGAGACACGATGTCAGTGATAGGAAGGAGGTCTCTGGCGGCGGCGTCTTCAGCAAGAGCGTTGATCTCAGCGGCATTCGTGAATTGTGCGTTGAACTGCGTAAGTAAGTTGGGATCCGGTGCCACCGGAACTGAACCTGTTTCGATCAAGTTCCATAGAACTCGAATAAACAGGTAGAAAGAGTCCTAAAGACTACAAATGAGCAAGGTTTCAAGCATAGAACACAAAAGGACGAACGTACCCTCGTTCCTTGGAAACCTGGAGGCGCCTCATCCGGAGCCATCTGAATGGGATGGCGTTTCGGCGATGGTTTAGGAGGGGCAGAACTACGTCTGGAGCTTTGGGAAGGTCTTGAAGAAGATTTCGGAGTGGTGATAGATACTCGTTTAGGGAAGTTACTCGAAACACTCCGCGGGCGTAGGATTTGTCTTGCGTGATGACAAAGATAAACTGGGTCTATTGTGGGAGATTGGTGTTGTAGGTGCTTTTGATGAGGTTGACGCTCTGGACTTCCCTTTCTCTGCTGAGGCCGATTGTTGAACAGACACGTCTTTGAACTTCTTCAAAAGCTTTTCGTATGATTCGTCTCTGGCGGCGGATTCAGCTTGCATTTGGGCGGATTGAGCTTGAATGTCTTGAATAAGTTTATTCTGAGCCGCTAATTGTTTTGTAGTCTCCTGTAGCATTAATTGAAGATCTGGAGGGGGATCCATGATTAAATTTGCGAAACGATGTTGGAAGTGAAGTTGTTTTAGCAGATGTGAGATGGTAGTGACCAATCGATGTGAAACAAGATATTTGTGATGAAAAATGCAGAGGTTGAATCTGGTAGAAATTGAAGAAATAATATATCAACAGTCAAGCGATGATATCTGAACAAGGAAATGAACCCAGATTGGTCGAAATGAAACTTACGAGGGATGAATGTTGGGGTTTTTATAGGCCTTGCAAGCCTGCTTAGCTTGCGCCATTGGATGCAAATCCTGAGTAGACTTTCATACAATCCAAACCGCGCAGACCTGTCACTGAGTCCTCATCATTAGACCCTTTGAATGTGTTGATCTGGGCCCTAGCTACGATGGCTGAGTTTTTGTTCGTACCTTGAGACAGTGCCGCCAAATTTGAACACCTGTTGTATTGATTGGGAGGTTGGCAATCGGCCTTCGACAAAGGATTGTATGAAAGTAGCCGAGAATAGTGGCAGATGGCGAAATAGTGTCTTTAAGTGGGAGATCAACGTGGGTGAAAAGGATGGAAAGGGTATGTAGGTGACGTCGAATGTAGATGGCTGACGAATTGTAAAGTGAGGTGACGTTACAGAAAGCCATCTGACGTTGTCAGATATAGCAGGTGACCCCGCGGGAACCCGAGGATCCGGCCCGTAGGGTCACGGTGACGCTGTATTTGAAACGTCACCTGTTTGCCCGGGGTGAGTGGTATAGGCTAGTGGCTAAGAAAGGATGTGCCTGGGTTCGATTCCCAGGCTTGGAGCATTTGATCTGAAAGGAAAACTGGAGCCCTAGGGCTTGTCTCAGACCACATCAGTATTAAATGCCCCAGAGTATCATAGATAGCCTTTATACAACTTGAAGTATGCTCCATTCTTTTGACTATCTTGCGTATAATCACTTACAGATCCATGGTTCTTGCGCTTTGAATTCTCTAATTTTTTCAATGGACGTATATGAAAATACTTGAGATTTATCTTGGTTCAGATGCAATTTGGGACAGATTTATTCAACATTCATTGCACTTGTCATTTTAGTCAAAGAAGATAAAAAAATAGGTCTAACATAGAACTAAAAACCAATCTTAGGGTTTAAAAGAAAAAGACAATTTGAAATATGAGACTCAAAAGTTAAAAAGTAGTTGTAACATACAACTCAAGACCTCAGGCTTTGAAAGAGAAAGATACTTGAAAGATAAGACCAAAAATTTAATCAGTAGTTGTAACGTACAACTCAAAAAGGGCTGAAAGATAATAAGAAGATTAAGAGAAACAGATATAATTGGAAGTAATTATTTTGGGGAGAGGGTGGCTATTGTATGATAGCACCGCCTTGAAGAGGTCTTTTTTTAAGATTGCGATTGTATGGTAGGACTGCTTTGAATATATCAGCAGCTTGGGCAAAAGGGATACCAATGCTGTTCAGATTAGATAAACTATATGTATCACGGTCCAGCAATCGACCAAAGTCATCAATACCTTGATCTTTTAAAACCTCCCGAGCCTTAGTGAAGTTAGGTGTTACCCCGGCCCAGTCCAAAAAGTGTTCAAAAGGTGGATAGGGTCTAGGTGCAGGTGATTCATCACGTGGGGGTGGAGCCGTAGTAGGTGGAAATGCTGGTGTTGCTGGAATTGCCTGTGGGATGTGTGGCAAGTGCTGATCTCCAAAATAATTGTAATTGTTGATGGTTTGGGGAATCTGAGCAGAATGGGTTTGGAAAGAGCCATTTGGCTCTGGTCGATCACTGGTAGACTCTTGGGGATCAAAATTTTGGAACCCTTGTCAGAGCTTGGCTTTTGCTTTTGCAAAATCTCGAACTGGAACGTATTCCCATCCAGCACGATGCATAGGAGGGTTGATTTCATCAACCCCATCTTCTCCTTGATCCTGAGGAATGAAGATGGCTGTGTTAGTAAAAGGGACAGCTAGAAATATTTAGAAAGTGTTGCTTACCCAGTCGCGGGCCCACATGCGTACTCTGTCAGTATTCAAGACCAAAACTTCCTCAAGATTTGTTGGATTAGGTGCTGCTCCAACGTTTTCACCGGATCGGAATATATTTTCAAATTTTGACATTAGGAGGTTGTATTTCTGAGTGACTGGATCAACATCTGCAGCCTAGGAAGGATATTGAGGCAATCAGTTCCTGTGATGTAACACAGAAATATGAAGAGACAAATGCAATACTTACAGTACGTTCCTCTGGCTCATCTTTTCCTTCGGATTGATCTGAATCTTGTTCAGGCTCCTGCACATGCCGGTTAAATACTTTGTACAAGTGGCAATTAGAATCCTCATCATCCTTAGGGTTATTTGGATGAACCATCCTGAGACCCATCTTTACATCAGAAGGCATGGCTAGAGCAGCGTCCACAAATTCCTTGAAGGTAGCCTTATCCTTAATCACAGCCTTATCATTTTTTTTGTGCTCAGCAGAGCCATTTATCCACCCTTCGATCGTCAGCGTCCGATCTCTATATGCAGCTTTTAAAGCAGGTAATACTCCTTTCTCTGCTTCATCACAATATTCGAAAACTTGGTTGCGAAACGTCAACCAGTCGTGACCGTGCAAATTCATTGATTGCTTGACTGCATATCGTGGTTTTTTGTCGATCCATTTAGGCTGTAATGACTTCGGGATTTTGCTACCACCTCCTTTTCCCTGCTTTCCCGTATTCTTCCCTTTGGCTTCAGGTGGCTTACCCGGTGGAAATTTGAGTACCCAGATGTTGAATGTTATGATCAGCTTTCGGCAGGGGTTAGGAATTAAATTGGCCGTTTCTGGATGGATCGGAGGTTCGTTTGGGTGAGCACTAGCTTGGTCACTGAGTTGATCCATTTCCAACTCATCCTTGCTGTTGAAGTCTTCCTCGTCCTCTTTGACTAAGCATAAACACAGAGAAGAGAATGGAATTAGTATAATAAGTACAATCAGGTGATATATGATCAAACTTGATGAACATACACAGGTCATCCTCATCTGGGAGACTTCCATCACTAATTCGATCACTATCCACCTCTATTTCAGTTGAGACTCCAAGATCCATCATTGCACCACTGTTGGAAGGTTGTCTAGAAGGTAAGATTGGATTTGGAATGGCAGAATGTTGACTAGAATTGGTAGAATATTGACTCGATTTTAAAGGCAAGACTTCATTGGAAAAGTTTGAATTGTGTCTAGATCGTAAAGGCGAGACTGAATTGGAAGAAAAGGCTGGATTGGAAAAGCCAGAAGGTTCTTGAGGATGTAAAGGTGAGACCGAATCAAAGATGATATTCGAGTTTGTACAATCAGTGGGAAACATATTGAATGTGTTTCCTAAATGATCTTCTTGAGTTTCCAACGATTGCTGATATTCAGAGTATGCAAGATACTGATCAGGATACACAAATTGATTCGAGTTGTTGGCAGGAATGGAGTTGCTGTTGGATGATGGAAGGGAGAATTCTTGATCAAGATTGAGATCGAGTTGTCCTGGTGGATATAAAGCTGATACTGGAGAGTTGTGCTGCTGGCTGACAGGGCTTTGGTGGTACGGATATGGTATGGCCTGAGGGGTCATCGGGTTTCTGGAAATGGGCCAAATCAAAGTCAGAATGCAACTCTAGTCCAGGATCAACTGATGCCAATGCTCACTGGTTTGCCATCGTCATTGCAGCAGAACGCGTATGGTAAGGATACGTAGGGATGCTGTTGGGTTGAGAAATCCCATAATGTTGATTGATCATGGTTCCGTGACCAAAACTTTCCGGATTGCTATCAAGTAGAAAGGCACTTAGAAAGCATGAAGAACATGTGGCGGATGGATTACTCACGGTGGGGTATTGTGAGCGCGCCGGTTGGACATTGTTGTCTTCAGGCGGGATGCAAAGTCTAGTCAGAGGGTTAGAAGTGCTTCAGAATGAAGCTCAAAATGCTTTCGTGCCCTATCGGTGCTGGGGGGTCCATTGTGATGCCGAGCTTTGGTTTCAACCATACCAAAAGTTGAGGAAGCTTGTGAATTTCAGATACAAAGGCAGCAATATTTGTGATCTTTCAGGATCTTTCACAAACTTTGCACCCTTGAAAAAGTCGAGTACAGCCTACTACAGCTCTTATGTAGAATCTACGTTGGTAATTCTTAGTGCAACTTAAAAAAAAATAAAAAAAAATAAACGGGCGACGGCATTTTTTATGCAAACAGCTGTATGAGAGCATGGGAGTCCGTCATAGGTGAAAAATATCTTACCAGTAAGCATAGCTTTTTCAAGATGTGTCTCAGAGGACCAAAGTGAATGGAAAGTTGTCATATGAATCTTCGAACAGTATGGGATTGATCGTTACCGTCCAGTACAACATCTTGCTCAAGGACTGTGCGTTTTCGTGAAAAGTAGACACGCCTCACGGTTCGTTGATTGTGAAAAGAACGACCTGCGGGGTTGGCTTATCTGTCTTCCAATCAAAACGCATGCTCATGCGATGTTGTGTTTGAATTTTCTTAACCAATTCCTCAGCACAATTGAGGTTGTACATACTTGTGTATGTGCACAAGTCCCAACAGAAATGCCCTCAAATGCCTCTTGGTTCATTCAATTGAAAAGTACCTTGTGGATTTGATACTACACTCTCTTTGAATGGAATGAAGGAGATCATCAATATTTTCAAAAGATCCTACACCGGAATTCTATCGCGGTATCTACGTTTTTCGAATTTCTTGCTCAGCTGGTTCCAACAAGTTGAGTATCTGCTCTCTCTACTTCGGTTGAGTAAGGTCATGTTTTCTGTTTGTTTGCGCCAAGAAATCATAAAGGGATACGGGAGGTCCTCTATTGCCAGACTATGGGTTGTCCTTGGTCAGGTTGTTTTTTATTTGGTTGTGGAAGTGTGTGGACTCTGGAGGTGTGTGGAACGCAAGGAAAAAAACGGTCCCGAAAACACATTTGAAAAAAACCGGTTGTTTGTTTACATACATACAGCCCCGGCGGGTGGCTTGTTTGTTGTTTATTTACAAAGTCAGCGCGTGTTTTGTTTGGATTGGTCACGTGATTTTTGGCGGCGCCCTTGGCCCCCGATCCTGTCTCTTCTCAATTTCTCAATAAACCCCATCAGACTACAACATCATGGAACTTCACTACTCTCAACGATACCTTAGTCGTCGGCAAGCTATTCCACCTCAGAATTCGGTAAAGGCAGCATGGGTTATCCGCGAGCGGGTACTGGGATTGTATCCCACGATGCCCAACGATTTGATTGCGCAAGTTTTTTTACGATCAAAATCTTATCTGAACAATCCCAGCGACTAATTCTATGATACATTAAATCATGATCCATCCACAGTGCTATGCTCTTCTCGATAGTTTTCTTAGGACTCTTGGCCGGTTGTTTTGTCGTATGGCGGCATCGTCCATATCGATCACTCTCAATTTACATTCTCGCAACTGGATGTTTCACTACCTTTCTCGGCTTTGCTGTTCGAGCTGGAATTTCTACAAATCCGGATCCATCTCGAGTCAGCTTCATGGTCGAGTGCATGCTTTTCGTCATCGGACAATTATGCTTCGTAAGCTTTTACCCAGTGTTCACAAGCTTTCGCTACTGGCCGAAGAACTTGCAACTCAATTGCGAATTTCGTTGTTAGTTAGATGTCTGGGTCATGCGCACTCGTGATGAACTGGTAGATGGCGTTTCAGAGGTGAGTTCAATGCTTGTTCCCTTGGACTGGGTATAAAGTAGCTGACCTTCTGTCTCAACCTATCTAGCATGAAGGAGTCGATCTACAAGCCCACGAATCACCTCGAACATGGCTTCTGGCTGCTAAACACGACTGGGATACGAGACTTGCTCTTGCTTCAAGACTCTTGATTATTCCGCTTTGCTTATTACTTTACCTCGTTGGTTACGCCATTTTACCGGGCCCTCAAGATGTAAGATTCAATAGCCAAGAAAGTCTCAAAGTCCGAGGTGCGTGCTTGATTTTTTTCTCTTGCTCGATTTCGGTTAGCTAATGAACATTCTGCATTAGGTGGTGCTAGTTTTTTACCACTGTCCATTCTGGCCATCATGGATATTGTCCTGGTGATGAAAGCATGTCTCTATAGTCCAGCATGGCTTCCTACACTCCTTCTCTTTGTTGCTTCCATCATGCTTTGGATACCAGCTCTATGTTAGTCGCATATCAGTTATCTTCCTTGGCCCATATATTTTTACTGACGCCTTTCTTCTCGGGTCTTAGATGCATTTTGCTTAGTCAGCATTGTAAGCACGCCTTTATTTGACAATTGATCAGGAGGCTGAAAAGATATTCATAATGTAGACACCCGATACCTCAAATTTGATCCGATCGAAAACCCTGTTTCACGCAGGGTTTGGTTTTACACAAGCAGTTTGTATCATGATCCTGCTGTTCCTAACAAGACGTCCTGCTTTATGGGCATATCGAGAGCCTCCTGAAGGGACAACACCTGATCAACCACCTCTACCAAAGTATGTCACTTCTGTACTCGTGCAGAGAGTTTTTATTGGAGTGCTTACAAACTCATTTCGAAAACAGATATGCATATGTTCCAGCCCGCTGGACTCGAGGTGGAACCGAACGTATGGTGGAGACTGCCGAGGCAGGATGATTTAACATATAGAAAAACAAAAAATGTCTGATTTGACAATGTAGAATATATCTCTTTGCTTATAGTGCTCGTCTTATTGTAAGAGTGGGTAGGTGCCTGGCAATGATTTTTCGTCTTAGATTTTACCTTGCTTTTTGTTTCTTGTTAGTCTTATTTGACAATTCTTGGATGATTTATAAGTATTAGTCGATTGTGATTGCTAGATTGTATTTTCTTTTGTGGAACATGTTGATTAAGTCCCGGTTTGGGTTTTGTTATAATATCAATACAAGATATCGCTCGATTGCACTTCAAGATTATTATGAAAGCGTCTTCTGATCTCAACGGCTGCCAATCTTCAAAAGAGGATACTTCGAAGCTTAGCCTGAGAAAATTACTGGCCAAAGTATCAATCACAAGAGCTTCCAAATGTGTGTCGATCTGGCTGACGCATAGTATGACAGAAGAGGTTGTGATATGAGCCCTGTTGTTCAACCTGATGCTCCTTGTCTGCTTGGCGTGCAGAAAATTAACAAGAATACAAAAGCTCATTTCATGGAAAGTTTTCCTAGGCAATTGGTCTGAATGGCTTCATGGAGCTTTAGGTTTGTTTGATGAAATTTTGAAAGGTCGATGTCCCCCTTTTGTTTTGGTAGCACTAGCATGAATTCTCATGTACCTTGGTACAGCTGTGGATACTCACAGTCTTGATTTCTTGCAGTGTGGACCTAGACGCAAGGTGGCAACTGTGCAGTGTGATGTCATGTTACAATGCGGTTACAAGGACTTTCTTTCCAGCAAAAGAATCTGAAAATATATATATCATGTTGCAGAGGTCACAAATTTATGTATCTTGAGTTCAAATTTCTTAATGAACACAGTTTTTATGACTATAGTCAGAAGAATTCATGCAGGGAACCGTGTTTCAAACCGCGCACAAGAAATGAAAGTGACTTTGGGGATCAAATGACAAAATCAAGGAAGAAAAAAGTGTAAAAAATGATAGCTTTGAGGTTTTTGTAGGAATAGACGACAAATATCATATTTCAGAAAAGAAATGATGATTATCAATTTGGATATACCTGGTGGAACCACAGAACAAAATGTCGCCATGTCGCTATCAGAGTGAACCAAGCTTGTTGATTTGATCTTTTGACTTTTGAGACCTAAGCACTGGAGAACTGATGGTCAAAAAAAGAATCCCCAGTAGCCACAAAATTTACTCTCACCTTTTCTAAATACGAGTGTTTGAGCTTCGGAACGCACGGCTGGACCGAAAAACTCAGGATCGACCCATGTGAGGGATTTGATCCAAAGCCGGTCTTGTAGTCCTCGGTCCTGCCATTTCCTTTAGACCCTGTTCAACTTTTACGGGGTTTTTTAAGGCATTCATTTTGGCCACGTTGTTAACCAAGAGCAATTTTTTTTCTGCATTCCCTTCCTTAATCAGGTCTTCAGTGGCCGTGAGACCCGGCTTCAAGCCATTGACCACGGTTCGTGCAACTTGGGTTCCCTTCTGGAGTATTCTGGGCTCCTTGAGATATGCAATGACTTTCTCTGGAATGCGTGGCGCGGGTGAGCCAGAAATGACACTGAAGAGAGCACATAGAACCAGAACAATTGCTAGTTTTGTGGACATTTTGTATAGATTTTATGCTTTGATAATGGGAAAAATGTTTTTAGGAGGATCTCAAACTTTTGGATAAGATGTTTCAGTGGATGTGGATGTGGAAGGAATCTACAAGCCAGTTCGAAGCTGATTTTATAGGCACACCTGATGATAACTGGACTGAACAAATCCACCCGACACCAAAAACTTCTGAGTCTTGGATTCAGATCAAGTATGCATGTATACAAATTTCCCTAAGGCGTAAGACATGATCAGATGTGGGGATCTCTCGCTGCGGGTCCCAAGTTGTGTGCGGTTGATAATGCTGGTAGCTCTTCATCAGCATTATCTTGACATGCGCCGGTACTGTCTCTAGCTGGCTGTTTCATGAGTGATTGATTGCAGTCGCGACGTTTCGGGGCATCTCTGTAAGCAATGAAACGCGCCAAAATTAGCAGTCGGCCATTGATAAAGGAAGTACGTTGGTCAAGATGAATTGTCATAAAATAACCAAATCAATGCGCACATGAAGGGATGCAAGCGACTTTGATCGACCTGATCATGAGCAACTGAAAATAAGCACAGGAGATGTTCCTTCTTGGTCGATGTGAACCAATCATGAACTCGACTAATAACCAAACTCGAAAGGTGTTAGATATCTCAAATGCTGCTCCTTACCGAACCGTACGATCGTTCTGACTTGTTTCCTACTGATATCGGCTCGGACGAGATTATGAGGTTGTATCAGTCTCGACTCTCACCTCACGTGGCGTGTGCATTCTTCATGATGATCAACGGGCCATATTCAGTTCAGCTGTTCAGCCAGAGGGGAAAATGTTATCTATCAATTGTGTGAGAAGGCAAAGCCATAAAACAGATGAGTGTCAGATAAGGATTCAACAATTAAATTCTCAAATTTGTTAAGGATCCTTTGTTAATTGTTCGACTTGCGACGATACGTAAATTCATGAAGCTTTCAGCACCCTGTTTCGAAATCTGGTGCCCTATTTGAGGCCTTCTGCCGATTTGTGGTGTTATGTGTCACTTTGAGGGCTGAGTATGAGTCATAGACAAGGGTAGATCATGCCTGTGGCCATCCATGAACTGCAAAGACATACCCGCGCTGAAGCTCACTGGGCTGCTGTAGCGATCTTATCGCCCTACCGCGAAGTTGGCACACAGCGAAAAATACCAGGCACCGGTACATGATTGAAGTAACCTGATCTTGCGTCGCAGGATTCTGCAATTTTTTCTTGAATTGTCGTTTCCATCTCCTGAAGAATTTCTAACATATTGTCAGCCGTTTAGTCCTTCAGTCTCAGGATCAACATGTTTTTTTGTCTTGGCATTCTGATAGAGTGCTGAGATCACCTTCCAGGTCGGATTATAAGACTCCTTTGTTAAAACTTTGAGATTGTCGTATCTGTGGGATTTTACGGCTCCTGCTCTTTGAATATTTTCGAGCTTACCTTTGCACTTGAAAGATGAATCTGACTTTGATACCCCTAGTAAGCTCGTGCTTTACTAGAAGCTTCAATCGCGATCCTGATTCGTGATATTGGCACAGGACATCAAGAATGAGAGGTAGCAGTGACTTTCTAGCAGGGTGAAGAAACTTTGGTCACTCGGTACATCCGTACTATTGAATACCGATGTTCTGCTTGCACCCTCGAGACGATGTACCGGTAGAATTCACGTGAAAGCAAGTTGGTCCAACAACCAATGACAAACTATGGAACTCTGTCATATGGAGGGAATATGGCTCACAATTCTCAACCTTGGGACTCGGGGGCCCCTGGAGATCCACTCAGAATAAACTTGGACAATTGAAGAAAGTGTGAACTTGGTTCGCTGATCTTACGCTCAGACTCGAGTGACTCTCACTCCTTTCGTCGACCACCCATATGTATAAAGTTTTCTTGCAAGCTTCGGCCGTGGTCCGTGGTGGAAATTCTAAACAGTGGCTTGACTATCAGCTCTACCTCTACCGGTGTCGTAATCATGATCTTTCACCTCATGAACCGGCTATCACATCTCGTGGCAAGCAGTTTAGCATCAAATCCAGCACATGGTCTTTTACTTCATGGAAACTGTAAATCCCTTTAAATTTACTCGACGTCCACTTGCTCTGCTCGTTCCGATTGCATATCGTTGACCAAGTGCACTCCTACTCCTCACCGGTGCTACTCCTAGATCCCCCGTATGATCAATCAGTAGAATAACGAGTGGATTCTACAAAGTGGAGGATAGAGCAAAGATATACTTTGACCATCACTCAATGGCTTCCCCCCGATGGGGCCATCGCACCTTGATAGTTGACGAGTCTACCTCGTGTCTCGCTACAATATAACGTGAGTTGACGATATCGGGCTCATCCGAGGTCTTCGTTCATCGTCCTGTAAATATTGCTCCGCTCACGGCTCATTCACTCTTACTGCCTCAGACAGTGCACCTTTTCCTGCATTTTGAAAGCTGATATGATGACATTCAGATACCTTCCTGTCCTCCTGATTGTACAATGTGTTGCGGGCCATCCACCATACCCTCCGAGGGAGACAAGGGCAACATTGCATCTAGACTCTCACAATTATTCGACGGAGCAGAGAGGCTATTCCAAGAACGCGTTTGTGACCGCCAAAGGAGATGGACATCTTTATCTTGACGACAGGCTATTTGATTTCCGAGGTTTCAAGTAAGTCTCTTCAATTTTACCAGCTTTGTCATTTGTACGGAACGGTCACTGAAGATAAGTTTCTCGGTTTGTTTCACTTTCGGAATAGCGCACCAACCTTGCTCGAAGGTATGTCCATTAGCTCATCATGATACTCAGACAGGTTATGAACTGTAAGAGTCCTCTAGCCCGGTGCTTTACAAGTACCCCTCACTCAACCTACGATTCACACCCTTTCTGTAGGGGGCGATTGGCAGGCTCGCGATTTACTTGAGACTATCAGCGGTTTTGGAACACCTGCCACGAGGACTTATCCACTTAGGATTGCCAATACTCAGTTTGGAGGATATATTCCACCTTCATCGGGGCAGGTGATTGGTTGGGATCAAGATAGAGACGGTTTGTGATCTGTTTCGACGTTCATCCCCCCTGATTCATGCTGAAGTACATCTCGAGACCGCTTTTTGGAGGTACAGATTGGATTTACAATGAAACCAAGTGGGAACAAATTGATCGTGTGTATGTCATTTCATCTCCGTAGCCCTCACTTCAGACTCCAGTGATTTCGGATCAGATATTTTGGAGGCCTAACGATTGACTGTCTGATTGGTTCCCCAGTTTACAAATGTCGTATCGTCATGGAGTCAAGTTGATTATCCCAATCATCAATCAAGTAAGTCGCCAATCACAGGTTCTGAGTACCTTGATTCCTGACTTGTTATCTGACCATGTCCATTCATCAGGACTATGGTTCATCTTCGACAAACTACATTGGAAACTTCAACGACGTAGGTTCTCTGTGATCAAGCATACGGCACTGGGGACGTTAACTGAGCTGGTTTGACGTATTTAGCTGATACGGCATAGATACAACATAACCGACTATGACACTGCTCGAAATTCAGTCGATTGGTTTACAGACCCAGAGATGTTACGAGTTTTTAAAAAGCTTCTTTCCAAGTTCTTGAACCGGATTAACACAGTGAACCATATTCGCTACGGTAATGATAATACTATTCTTGCCATCGAGACAGGGAACGAGATGAATTGGAGATCACAGAATCACACTAGCTGTACGCTGAATACCTATCCATGAATTTCCAAAAGTGATCCTTGTGAAGTGTCCATTCATTGATTTCCGCTTTGTAGTCAGGCGATCCCCTCCTGCTAAGGTAAGTAGCCTTCATTCATCAACGTTTCATATCCAGGTATATTGATGAAAATGCTTCATGACTCCTTTTTGATAGTGGACATTATCAGTAGCACGTCATATCAAATCATTAGCTCCTAAACTTCTCGTGATGGATGGTAGCTAGTTGAGTGGGCAGAACCTCCCAAGCATTTATCAAATTCGATGTTATTGACCGGACATCTTGGATATTTTTCAGTGCTCGAAATATTGATCATCCATGGGAAGAAGAAGTACTAAAATCTCCAGATGTTGATATACTTTCTTATCATTTGTGTAAGTCTCTTTATCCCTTCTGATGTATTGTATCATGAGATCATCAGTCTGTTTGGTGCTGACAGTAATGAGATCTACGCATACAAATTTATCTCACCAATAAAATAAAATAGATGGAGATGATAACATTGACTATTTTCATGGGTAAGCCTCATGATAATCCTCCTTACAATCGCATAACTGATGTGCTATGTTTCAAAGTTTGAATGAACAAGTTCGCCGGTACAACAAAACACTTATTCTGGGCGAGCATGGGTTTTGTGAGAACGTCTCTTGAATCACTTCAAAGAATCCAACTAATAGAGTGTTATGATTTATGTAGACTCCGAGACTTCGCTCTATAAGAAAGCATACGATCTTTATCATTGCGCTGGAACTCTCATCTGGTCTTTAACAGCGCATTCAGAGAAAGGAGGTTTTGTCACTCACTCCGAGGGCAATGCAATCTTTAGCTACCGTATGTCATCTTTTCATCATTCAAATTTTATACATGGAGGAATCACAGGTCATTATTCTTATCCTTAAACCACTCATGAAACAATTTTTTGATAGATATACCGGGATGGGCGACTCAAACAGCCAGTGACTTTGATACGCAAGAGCACGAAGTCGTTCACTCTACTTACCGAGCAAGGTACATGGGATAGATTATTATCTCTAAACAATTACCTTGATCATCGTGACTAAATTCAGCTCGTGTCCTCAATAGCTACACGGCCTTAGGGCTTTATCCACCGCCATTCCCGATCCCGGGTAGCCCTCATGCTTTCTTTGTCCACCGCGGCGCTCATGTTGGGATTTCATGGATGGGTGTAGCATGGGCTTATAGCTATCAAATATTCGGTGTAAGTAACATAACTCGCAGAAGAGATGAATAAGAGTGACTCAAACTAGATTAGAGACTGATCTCCTTCATATCAGGCACATGTACGCAACTTGGCTTTCAATCTTGTAGCTCAAACTGTCCACGATAACGTAGCAGCAGGAGACCTATTCTTACCTATCGATCCCACTAAGCCAACCCAAGCAATCGTCGTGAAAGTACTTCCTGCTCAACCTCAAAGATCACATGCAGGTTGGAAAGATGACAAATGGAATCATGGATCTACTCATAAATCTACTCATAAAACTCAAACTACATCAAATGATATACAAAAATTGATACTATCTCCAAATCAACCACGCGCATTAGAAGGAGGTTGGTGGATGGTTAGAGGTATAAGTGTGGATGGAATTCCAGGTCCATTTTCAAAACCTATCTTTCTGTCACCATTTTCTAAATCAAATCCATGATCCATACTATCATAACCCTCAAACTTTAAAGCTTAATAATTTCACTATCTTGTGCATTTTAATGTCTCTCAGTTTCATTTGAAAAGCTCCAGTCATCTATTTTTCTTATCTATCACCCATGAGCAAATTGTACATATATCATTCCATATGATTTCTCTTACAATCCTAAAGCAGCAGTGGAAATGGTTTTGATCAATTAATAATTCATGCTTAAAAGTCAAGGGGGCGGAGTTCTTCCAAGGAAGGCAGAGACCTGCAGAGACCAATCAACGCGAATCAAACCACTAAATGTCCACTGAATGCACTTCTCTCTCGTGACCCTTCTCAATTCTTATCTCTCAATTTCAAACTTCCAAACTAAAATCCGAACTGTCAATCAACACGAGAAAAAAACAATCCAAAACAAACAAATACACTCAGTAATGAATGCTCATTAAACAATCAACCAAACCCTCTTCTCCCTCACGAGTCACAACCCATCGCACGAAAAAAAAGAAAAAGAAAACTAACAAAAAAAACTATAAGCGCAAAAGAGAAATCATGAGTTTTGTTTTCAAAAATCTAGATTTTTTTTTGTTTATTTATACACAGATTAATGAACTTAAAAAAACTAAAAACATTGATTCAATCTAAAAGAAAAAAAGTAATTCATTAGAAAACTCATTCTTCATTCATCTCCTGTTACTTTAGATTTCCTTTTCTTTGATTTCTTTTCACTTTTAGGTACTTCATCTGTTATTGTCATCTCTACATCTTCTGATTCATTTTTTCTCTTTTTACTTTTAGCTTCAGATGCTGGTAATTCTTCATTTGAACTTTTGGCTTTCTTGGCTGCTTTTTTAGCTTCCTTCTTTAACCGTTTAGCAGTCTAAAACAAAAAAAACATTGATTAGATATAAGATCAAGAGGCTTTGGGAAATGAAAGAAAAAGCTTACAGCTTCTGCATCTTCATCATCAGCTGCCATAGAAACATCTGCAATCTCTTCTTTGCTATCGATTTCTTCAATCAAAGGTTTTTTCTTCTTATCCTTCTTACTTCTTTGAGGTACAAGTTCATCGTCATCTTTTGTTGTATCATTATTAGCAGCAGGAATCATAATATCATCTGCTGCAGGGTTATAACTACCAGCGTTTGGCATTCTCAAAGCAGGTAGTTGTTGATATGATTGTGATGATTTTCGTACAGATTGAATTCCGATCGATTGTTCTAGTCTTCTTAATCTTGATTCTAATTTGATTCGGGCTTCGATACCAATTAATGCGGCGTCTTCTGTTGATTTGGTATCTGAATCTGCTAGAGCGTCATGTCGAATTGAAAGTGCAGCTTTGGCGGCAGTCATACGAGCCATCTGATATTTCAAATTGAACATGGGTTAGTAAACAAGCTTTCAAGTACATGTGGATAGGCTAAAAATCTCGAGTCCTCACCTTTCCTTTGAGTTTTCCAGGAGCACTGCCTACTAAGCTCGAATGAAAGATTAAACCATATTTAGGTGTATCATGCTTAGTCTTCAAAGCTCTAAACAAAGCTTTTTCAGCTCCTAAGATTTGAATCGTAGAAGCAGGAGCCTTGGCAAGATTGATAAGACTACCGCTATGAGCAATCAATCTAGCACCAACCAATTCGCCTAAGATAGCTGTAAGATTAGGTGCAATAGCTGTCATTCGGTTTCTTAAATATTCAAAAAGTTCGGTACGATATTGCATAAGCGAAATCACTTGAGAAGCTAATGATTGGATATGTAAAAGATCGGTATCGGAAATTTCTGTTCCCATTGAAATTGCTGCGGCTGCTTTTAGTGTGCCTTCGAGCTCTTCTGGAAGAATTTCAGAAAAGTCGGTTTTATCGTGATCTGTCCTAACACCTGAACATTGCATAAGTTGAAAATTTATCAGTAAGTCTAGTATTCAAATATTGGGAAAAATGGTCAGAGATTCAAAGTGATTCAACTTACCCATGACTTTAACAATCTTTGCATAAGCAAGATTGTCCGTGATGATCTTGGCCATCTCAGGGAAATGCCATCCATACCATTCCTTAACCCGCATAGCGTAAATGTTGACCTCTTTGTCTAGATCATCTAACAGAGCAATGGCCTGAACAATCATCGTGTCTACTTTGTCGGTGGAATACTTCAATTTGAATCTGTTGAACAAAATTAATCAACTTAAGAGGGATTCACTCTATTCAAATAGTTCTTTCCTGGCGACTTACCGACTCAAAGAATGACTGAGACCCAAGTTCATAGTATTTAAGTCACTTTCTTCTACATTATATTCACCAAGAAGTCCAGCCAATTGTGAACGAATTCCTCGAAAAAGGTCCGTAGTAGTTGAATCTGAAATCACATTAAATCCGAGTTTCTTCGTGATAGCTCCACCTAAACCAAATCAATGGATTTTAGTATATTTTTTTTAGCTAGAGTAGGTGATTTGACGTACCTAGTTTAGGATCCACAACTGCTAGTGTTTCTTGACTGTTCTTGCTTTGAGAAATTTCATCTGTCAAGAATTTCTTCAAACTGTTATTTTTTGTGAACAGAAAAACAAAACAGGATCAGAAAACGATGATGACACATGAAAGGTGTAATTGAGAGTTAAAATGAAGAAATTTTTACTTTTTTGAAATTTTACCTTCACCAATAGCGCTCATATCTTCAACGGCATCAGCTGTACTTTTGAACCGATGAATGCTCTGTAACTTGACACTGATAAGTGGATGATATCGATACAAAGTTGAAGCCGAAATATAGGAAAAGATAGTAAATTCGCGTAGGGATCAGTAAAGGGTGGTCTCTCAATAAAACATGAGTGACCGAATTCCTTTGATCACATCACATCCCCATGCTCAAATCAGGTTTGGTGTTGTGTCGAAGGGAAAGACTGACAGGTTAGAGGCACTAGCCGGAGTTTCGAATTTTTTGTAAAGCTTGTCATCGCTTAATAATTTACCGTCATCGGCTACTTTGAAAAGACAGAATCCTAAAGAAGACTCGAAGAGAACCAACCTATTATTTCAAAAGAGATTTTAGAAAGACCAATGTTAGCTTAAGAACTTTGCGATGCCATTTGTAAAAATCTTGAACGTTTTGAGTAGACTATCGATCCAGTCTTGCTGAAAGAACTATGGTAGTTTCGTTTTTAATCCGATTTGAATGATGATTGAAGATATACTTACATGATTGATAGAGAATGACTTGATTGATTGATTGAGGTGGCTTTGAGATGTTCGTCGGATAGATAGTCAGCGGAAAGGAAGTCTTGATGGGTTCTTTAAAAATTTCAATGGCTTGGGTCGAATTCAAAAAAAAACTTATTAAACCTAACTGCTGTATGCATAGAGCCAGTTGTGGTACAGCATATTGCACTCTCTAGTAGCATACCTCCTTCTAATATGTTTGTACATAAACACACTGAGCGGCTGAATGGCATCCCTTCAAGATATCCTCAAAAGCTCACTAGCTCATCCCTATTTTTTTCGATCTCCTCATTTCCTGTACTGCATCATCAAAACGTCGATTCGTTCATTCTGGGCGCAGAAATCCATTGACAAAAACTGGACCAATTCAAAGTATAGGGAGAGTTTACTTTCCTACCATTTTGCAAGTCCAGATCATAGGTATTCCAATAAAATCAACTGGCTATTGAAGAGAATGTTGGATGCTGGCTGTTTGATTCATATGTATGTATGTACATGAGGAGTTAGTGAGGTGGTGGGGGTTTAATAAAGAGATTCCAAGTGGACTCTGCTGTTGAGGGAGAGTCATCTGTGATCCTGGCCCATACCCAGTGGTTCTTGAATTGCCAAACCGCATTATATATCGGTGCAAACATCTTTGATTTCCTCAATCTCCCCGTTGCATGTGGAGTTTGACTCGAGGCTCATCTACATACCAAGCATACATTCCCTGCATGGAACTTTTTCAGCAGAGCACGATGGTCCACAAGCATGTAGCAAATTTTGTTTGCTGTAGTTGGATCTTTACCTATTGAAGTGGAAAGCTCATGAGGTTCAACTTCTTAAATATTATGGGAAAGGTTTGATATTGAGATACGACACTCTGATCAATAGGCTATCACATTATTGAAGTCCGGAATGTCCATAGGCACCCACCAAGTGTTATATTCATGAAGCTATGTTGCTGATTGATGTCTTCAATTGTCAAATGAGTTCCCTGAGTCTTGCCTGACCTAGCTATCCAGGAAGCACTCCACGTGGTGTAAATGGCTTTTTGATTATTTTTCACCCTTCTGCCTTACAAGACAATAAAACATATCAAGTATTGGCAGACACCCTCGATATACTCAAAACTACACAGTTGAATTGAAGGAAGGTCAACTAGTGACCAACCAAAGACCACACAGGAATGTTCAGAACAGATATCAGGACTTCCAAAAAGAGACACAAAACAACTGGAGGAGTTTGATATTGGCACTCATTGTTTGGAAGAAAATCATGTACATAATCAAATTCTCATCAGAGAACAAAGAAAATATGAAGGTCTCAACTGTTTCCGTAAGATAACTTTTGGCAAACTCCATAATACATTTGGTCTCAAGCAAAACAATACGCAGTAGAGAGTTGAGATTGGTGTCTCGTGGGCATGCTGATGTTACTCAGAGAGATGTTGAAGTGAGATATCAAACAATTTATCGAAATGCCATTCAATCTGTGTGGAGAAGACCTGCTGAATAGTGAAACATTTGTGAAGAGAATGCTACTAGTACTGAGCGATCTGATGACAGTCAGTACCTCGTTGGGTATCGTCGGGCCTGCCGTCAGACTCAGAGACGGCCTAAAGCTATACCGACAGCGCTGGATGCATATGCTTTCTCTTGCACAGAAACGATAACACCTTCTCGGGCGGAGGTTTTCTTTTCTTGCTTTTGCTTCATCGACCGGTCACGCTACTGGTCATCACACACTCCTAGCAACATCTGGTCATTGGTCGTCATAGGATGACATATTTGCTGAAATAAACATTTTCTGGGTAACACTTGTTTGGGGATCTTCAGAGGTCTTTCCAATCCCTATATCTTGTTCCTGCGGCTCATTGGATTCGCTCCTCCCGATCTGATTTGTCTCATATTTCATTCCGACTTATGACTCAGACTTCCTTCGCCATTGAAATGTAAACTATGCCAAGGAGCTTGTTCATAGTCTGACACCCAGTCTGACTACATAGCCTTCGGGCCTTGTGTGTCGATCAGCCGCTTTTCACCTCATGAACTCCACTCTCAATTCAAATATCGGCTCGTCAGACGCAATGCGTGAATTTCGAAACTCGAATCTAACAAATGGAGAACAGATCGACGGCCACTCAAACCACCGTGTGGTTCACAGAGTGCGCCGAACTTGAACTTGCTCTCCAAGCGTTTCACATTGTTGATTCCAGCCGAATTCAATAGTAGCCTTTACCTTGGCTCGATGGATAAAACGGTGCTATTGACGTCAGAAGAGCGCTTGTTGGTAGAAACGCACAGATCATACTCTCTATTCGACTCGCAACATTGTGTCAATAGATTGTTCATATATACCATATGATGAACCAACAGGGTAGAATGGTGTTATCACTCTGGGGAACCTAACTTCCCCATACAATGCTGATGATATCAAAAAATACTATGTAAGCAAACCAAGCATGTGGAAAGGCTGGTCGGACTCCACTCAAAATAAATCTGTGTTTTGTTCTTCTTACAAAATATGGATGCTCAGCACAGTCAAAGATGGAGATCCGCATACAATGTTCAAGGTCTACTGATCCAGTTTCATCCTTGACGTATGCAAGTACATTTTTTCAACCGTACGCAGCCTTTTGCTTTGTCTTCAAATCCGCATACGTAAGGTCGTGACAGAACGATCTTGCGCATGCGGCTTGTAGTGAAGTATACACGGAAATCCTGACCCATCCCGACCGTCGATTGCAGCCTTGTGTTCACCATAAGATGAGATTTAGTGGCGTCATTGCTGCTGAGTTTTTTTCCTCTTTGGATGCGATCGTTCTTGAGTCTCCGGCGTGACATATGTTCACTTGCTGCTTCCCTGAAAATTCTACCCATAGCTTCATGTACGCAAGTTTAAGAATGTAGGGACTCCATGAGATCCTATTTGCCCCATCGTATAATTCTTTTCCTTGCAGAAATTCGAGCCAATACCATATCACATAATTTTAGCTTCTCCAGTAGCCAAGATGGCCGTAAAATGCCTTTTGAAAGTATCACTTGTCTCTTGTTGCATCCTATCACTTGGTGTAATATCTCATCCTATGTGGCGGTTTCGTGCCCAGAAGTCCACTTTGAATACACTTCAATCTCCTGAACTGCAAGACTTGAACAGTTCCCAATGCGCAGGAAAGAAACTGTCGACGGCAAAAACACTACTCAGACCACCCACCAGGCGGACGGGGTTTTTGAGCAGATGCGCCTCGAATTTGAGCTGTGTAAATCCTCAGACAGTCTCAATAAAACAAAATAAGATTACGATGCCGAGTATCTCAACTAAATCGCCGGTGAAGTGTTGGAACCTGATGGATAGCCCGGTTTATTCAAGAGATTTGACCACCAAGGACCCGCCAAAGGAAATGGGAATTGATGAGGAAGAATGGTACCATCGGATTAAAGATCCAAAGACTTCCGCTACACTCGGTATTGCATTTCCCGTACTACTTGAGTTCAAATCCGTTTCGATAAAAAACTAACAATGTTTCCGCAATTTGTGGTACACCTTACATCGATGATGGGAATGACATCGATGATGGGAATGTAATGAGACTAGAATTTCTTACTCCGTGCCTTTGTCAACTTTCGGGAGTTCTTTCAAATGCCGAAATACCCGACAAGTCCAAAGCAGAATTGAGCGCTGCTCTGGAGACACGCTGGTCTCAAGGCGACACAAGTAAAATGGAGAAGTCTGTGATTGAGCTAGTCTATGATATGGCAAAGAAGAAAGTGCTTAAGATGAGACCAGTAAACGTGATCAGAACGAGTCAAGGAAGTATATGCGCCATTTTAGATAAATTCTCTCTCACTTCGAATAGCGCAGCAAATAAAGATTTCGAAAACACCATCGAAAACCTTGGGAACGTGTGGCACGATATAGAAGGCAAAATGCATTTGGAACAGATGCCTTCACGTGAGGGAAATTTTCCCCTTCTACTTTACCGAAGCCATATTCCAAGTATCTAAAGCTGACTCTTGATCTTGCCTTCGAATGCAAGATGGTGGCTGGTTTGAGGAATGGAACATGGCAGGTCAAGTAATCGTGAACTGCCTCAAACTTTTAACTTCATCATGTCTAGTTCCCGGCCAATTCTATCATGAAAGTATCGAACACGAAATCTTACTTTTGGGGAAAAGATTGGGAAACCCGATGATCCTCCGATTCTTTTACAATCTCACCAAGGATCTATTGGTCCAGCCCGAGGAGTCCAGGTCGGCTTATTACGAGAAGAAGCGCGAAGAGTTTCTGAAGGGACTTCAAGAAGAGAGGGATGTTGGAAAAAGTACAGAGACGACGCTTAGGCGTACGTATGCACTACTAAAGGAGTTGAGGAATATGCTCCACGATGTAGATGAGGATGAAAACCGTAAGTGTCGCAGTTCGCTATCACCACATATGTTTGCGATGTGAAGTGCTTCCGTCATCATAAATTCTAATCATGATGAATATATCTCGAATCCAGCAATTTTCCCAATAGGCATACACGCTCCTATAGAATTTTTTGAAGAAGAAAATAATAAGCCAGAGCCCGAGGTTCACGCATCTACATTTCGTACATTAGGCTTTCGTAGTATCTCTATGCCAACCAATCTTAGGAATTCCCCATCTTCATCAACTTAAACCTGTTTCTAATTTTCCGAATCTACATATCTCCTTGAATGAGATGGAAGATTCCATCTTTGGACTGCGACATGTCTAGTTCTCATTCTACATCACTATTTGTTTCTGTTTTCAAGCAATCTCTTTTGAGCTCCCTGCCTTGTTGAGGCTTTGGCCTGGAGTGGGGGGGCCGTAGGCCGCATACTACCTGTTGGAGAAAGGTTTCCTACCTTCAACTCCCTGGATGGTTAGTGTCCTGAGCCCATTGAAAACCTATCTACAACTACAATTCAGAGAGGCTTTGTGCAGAATATTTCATTTCAAGGACTTAAAATATAATTTTGTACCCCATTCAATAACCTTCCCCCCTTCTCTGTTTCCCCAAACTCTAATCTGAGGCCTCCTATCCATCACATTTCCTCTGCTTCCTTCCTTCATGGTGTTCTTGAATTTAATTGATCTGCAGCGTACATGTCTAGTTAGCACTCTGTCTGATTGGCATTCCTGGAGTTACACATACATTCTTTGAACTTTACAAACTCCCACCATTATTTTGCCTCTTTCTTCTCTTCCATATATACTTTCTTTGGTATAACTGATATTCTTTCAACTGCCAACAGACAATGGCTGTGATGTCTCTGATTTGTTTATGTTGGTTAAACCATAACATTGCACCTCCCTCTAAAGGAGTGTCCTGATAGGTTTGTTCCTTATCTTTTTTCTTTCCATACTTCCTTAGAAATTCCAAATAATGTTGATTTTGATGTGACACTTCCTGTTCAATTATCTTCTAGGTATGAGAATAGAGGATCTTTGGATCCTGTTTTGTTGTTGGAAAGCATTGGCTCAATTGCAGTGGTTGGGCTTATGTAAGATGGCTGACTCTTCAGTCTCAGATATTTCACTTGTCCTGGACTAGACGTCTTTGTGCAATCATCACTACCTCATCTGTGGCTGGCCGCTGTACATTCATTCTTCTTGCCAACTTTTTTTCTTTTTCATCTGATGCTTACTTTCCTAATCTGGCCATCCCCCAAAACACTACTAGTGCTATAGTTGCAATCCAGTCCCTTTGATTCCTGTTAGATAAACTTTGGAAGGATTGAACCAGACATCTCAGCTTGACTGGTTTATTCTACACTTCATCTGATTCTTGTAGGGCTGCCTCTACAATCTCTGACAATTTGAGAAGGACTTTCAATTTCAGTGGTTCATATTTGGGTTACTCCTTGTCATGGAATAGATGCCAGTATTTTCTTCTGATATGATAACTCTTGATTGTTTCAACTTCAATTTTATATTCATTGCATGGTCAATTTCCTGATGTCTTGTTTGATTCTAACTTATTTCCTGCCCATACCACAATTTGTAAAGGGTATCCACTGATAAGGGCCATAGTATTATCCTTGTATAGTCTTCCTTGTGTGTCAATTTCAATAACATTGACAGACCACTACTAACATTTATCTCACAAGACTTCAAAAGTCAGAAATCATGAATGATTTGCAGAATTTATGATGATGATTGCTGTTTACCATGTTGTTTGCCTGTGTTGCCTGTACCAAATGAATTGTAATTCAAATATACAATGTACTGTACCAGCAACTGACAAGCTGGTCATTTGCACACATAGCACTCAGTTGCTCTGGAAAAGTACATTTTAACTTTACAAGTCATCTTTTACCTGATTTTGCCAACTTTTTGAGCACCACAAATTCAATGCACACTTTCCCCTGCTTGCTGCTGAGCTTGAGGAATTCTCAGCCACCCCAAAAAATCCAACTATTCAGAGCGCTCTGATACTCCTCAGAGGCTAGAGCAACGGTGGCACAGCTAAGCTAAGTTGGCGCTTGGCGGCGCATTAGCTTAGCAATTTGTTTGCGCTAAGCTAGCGGAAAATCCTTGGTGCACACCAGCTAAGCAAAGGGGATCCCAGATTTCCCTTAGCGGGCAAGCACTAAGCTAATTAGCTTAACAAGTCTCTAGTATTTCAACTTACTTTGGAGTTTTTAGTAGTGTGAGAAGCCCAGGAAGGAGCCAGAAGAATGTTTGGGGGAAATTTTGTCTGAATAACTTGGCTGGTTCTTGCATATTCTGAAGTTCCACAGGATTCCAGTGTGGACACATGCAGCTCAACCTTATCTCAGGTGACTCTGGGTATTTGGTTCTGGGTCACTGTGACCCAAACTTTGAAATCATGTTGAAAACACTCTGAAAACCTATTAAAGTCCTTGGAAGACCTGGTCTGCTAGTGACTTGTAATCTAATGCTATGATATTGCAAGTGGGTAATAGCCTCCACAGTAATTGAAACAATCAGAACACATCATACATATACAGATAAATGAGCATCAATTAGTCATACTGTTCCGCTCCCTGGACTATTTTGATGAACTTGAGTAACACTGTTTCTGTGTAGTGTTTGCTTGTTGATGAGTTCACACCGACTCACTTTGAGGCAGAAGGAGAAGTTGTGCGCGCTTGTCAACAAGAAAACACTACCCAGACATGGTGTACGATGTCATGGCAACAAGCCATACCCATCAATTCTGTCTCATCACAACCACACAAAGTCTGACAGCCTTGAATTTCATTTTATGCGGTATTCTGAGGGCTAAGAGGGTCCTATTTGCAGGCAACAGGCTCAATCACCATGCATTACAGGTTTTGAGATTGCTCATATATTTCTCACCACCAACTCATCTATGGGTTGACAAATGTTAGCTTGTGTGTCTGAACCTTTCATCTTGCTTTTCCAAGATAGAACTTGGACTGCCAAGAGAAAAAGAGATGGCAGTATCCCTGTATCACCTTTCCAGTCAGCATTTGCAGAAAGATGGCAAGGCTGAAAGTTCACATTGAGCCAAAGAATGTGATCTGGTCTGTTTTGTTGTTTCCCAGGAACATTAGGGCCAAAACAAATAGGACACTTCCCAACAAGATCATTCATAGATGTGAAAAGGAGAGCTGATGACAACATTTCTTCCTCAATACACAGCATTTCTTGATATGCTCAACTGCTGCTGAAAAGCACTGGCACAAGTCATGGGTCTGTAAAAATGGACAAGATCAAAATGGTTATGTGCATATGCAAAACACACTCACTTGATTTGTACCTGGTACTTTGCAAGTATTCATTCCTCCTATTGGTGAATGCACTCAGTCAGGCACTTGAATATTTCCGCAATGTGTGGTGGAAGCAAAGCAAGCAAATTGAGAAAAAGGAGAACCCAACATGGAGCTAGGTGAATAAGCTATACTGAATCATGTACCTCTGTAAACCCATTGTACTACATGTAACTATCCTTACAATCAGTCAGTTAAGTACATCAAAAAATCAAATACATATATTTCAATGTATAGTAATGAGGGAATGTTGACTCTTACTTGTGAAATATACTGTGTCCACCACAAATATTAGTCTTTGCCAATATTTGCACCTACAGCTGGAGTAGAAGTCTCAATTCTACAACACTGGATCACAACATTGATACCTCAGACAGCTATGTAGTACATACAACAATAATATTTTTTATCTGTTTTTTTTTCAAACCTCAATAACTCAGTCAATTTACATGATAAAGGTCAATAGACTGCATACTAATGGTGGGGAAATACAGGAGCAGTTTTGCACAGATTTATATCTCAATCTGTTTAGTATTATGTATTTTGTTGGTAACAGACCCATAACATCTTGATGGCAGATGTCAGCACCCAAGCTCTTCACCGCCAACATATTTACCTTGGATCAAAAAATCCAAGGTATTCTTGGATTTCAAACCTTGTACAGATGCTGTCCGATGTTATGATCTGAGTTAATTCTCAGCGCATAAAAACACCTTGGACAAAAACCTTGGATAGGGTCTGTCCAAGGATTTGCCTCCAATGATGCCTTGGATTTCTCAACCCGCGGCATCCATGTTGGCAGTGCTTCCAAAGGAAGATCCCAGGCACTTCAAACTTGAAAGAAGAATACAATGAAAAATAATAAACTCATATTTAAAAAAAGTAAATACCATATTTTTTCACCTTGGAGGTCTAGTCTCAAAGACCCAGAAAAGCATCTAATGAAAAAAAGAATATACATCTTATTGGTATAGTCTCAAAGACCCAATTAATTGAATAAAACATTTCCTATATTCTGATTGACAAGACTTCAAATCATTAAGAGGTCACAAATTGCTTACCATACAAATAGAGAACCTCAGGCCCCGTATGCCACAGCGAGAACGCTACCTAAGCTATAAAAACCTGCTAGAAGGGACTATGGCAGAGAAACCCCCACAAAAACTAAACCAATGTTGAGAGAGACAAAAGTCTATAAGCTCATTCCAATTGGGAAAGAGAGAGTGGGAAGACCTACCATGACAAGATAAACAAAAAAGGCCAACTGTGTCAACCACAGGTTGGGAGACAGGGTGAATTTGTATAAAGAGAGAGCCCCTTTTCGACATGAAAAGGAAGGCATCTGATTTTACCATACCACTTTTACCTATAAGAATCACTTCAATAAGTGTTACTTAAAAACTTGTAGCATAACTATTAAATTGCTTTGTTTCTTTAAAACATGTTTATTAGTTCCACTTCAAGATCTCATTTTGAGCTAGTTCCCTTACTTCGTCAAGGTCTCTCAAACGCCAAAACCAGTTCTGGATCTAGTCCCTAAAGATCCTCCCGCTTGCGTGAGTTATCCTCCCTCTTAGAATACCCCGGAATATGGCATGTTCATCGCCTCAAGCTTTCCATTTGACTCTCTGGCCTGTTCTTAGGTGTTGCCTCCCAGAAAGACCCCTTCCTTCCAACATGTTACATAGTTGGGTCATCCACTGGTCTACAGATCTTGTTCTTGTCACTTGTTGACAAGATGCCTGTTCTTCAAAAGGCTACCTTCAGAACTGTTGTTAGATAGGATTTGAACGGTGTGGTGATCAACTTATGGGATCAATCAAAAAATTTATCATTAGCAGTTTACCAGTTTACCAGAAAAGTTTAGCAGGGAAGAAAAATTCGCAATGGAGGTCTTTGATCAATTGAAGCTCTTTTAGGCTTATGTATTGATCATTGGGTCATGATTACATCATCTTATCTCATAACACTTATTAAGATCATTATAGTTTATTCAGAATCTCATTACAAAAAGAAAGAAAAGAAAACCATAAGAAAAATTCAAAAATATAGGTATACAGGCTTGGAAATGGTTTTTAGGGTAGTAATATTAGATTTATGGGTTTAGTGAGGTTAGAATATGAAAGAACAACATTATATTATACAGTACAGCTATTGCATTATATGTTGGACATCTAGAAACAAATAATGAAGCTTTTACTACCTTGAAGTAGATTAAACTTCAAAATTCATCAATGAAAAACAGACAACACAGTGGTTGCTGTGTTTAAATCTAGTTAAAAACTGAAATTTCAACTTTATTATTTTTTCTTGATGTCCAAGATATAATGAAACAGTATCAACAATTTTAATCTTGATGGTTGATAAGGAGAAACAGAAGTTATTAGAGAAAAGGTACTTTTTTGAAGTTGGTAAACAAGGGTTTTACGGATATTTTACATATATAATGGTGGTAGTAGTAAGATTTAGGGTTGCCAAGAGGATTTTCTGGGATTTTTAAGGTTATAGAGGATTATTTCATATTACATGAGCAAGAAAGAAGGATTAGTAGCTGTGCAAAGTGGTAAAAATAGGTGAATTTTGTCAAAAATGAAGGCTTTCAGCTTATTACATATGTCAAATGACGTCAGATTGGGATGTTAGATGCCTCATTCAACGCAGAAGAGTAGATTACATAATGTACAAACTTTAAATCACTTGCAGCTGAGGTGTATGCAAAAAGTTATAAGGGAAATAAGAAATCAGTGTGAACTTCACATTTACAGTCATATGCATACATGTAACACCAAAAACCTTAACTTCACAACTCAATAACTCATTCATCACTCATCAGAAATACTTGATATGGCGCCAATTATTGATCAGTATCACGAGGTCTAAAAGATGCACTTTAGTAATCCAAGATTGGACCCCATCTGAAAAAATTTGTAATCTCAAAAATTGGTTTTCAGCTAGTTTACAAGGAAAAAATCACCTGTATTCATCATCAGAAGTGCTGTACATCTTACAACTATGCCATTGATCACTTTTGGCTGTGTAAATTACATCATACATTGGTAACATGTTCATTACATTGCGCCATCATAGGGTTTTAGGGATTTTGGGGCAGAATTGATTGGTTTTGAGGCTGTTGACCCTTGTAAAAGTTGTAACACATTGTTATATATACTCTAGGATGATTTTGGGATTATTGTTCCCCTTTTTTCTTCATCATTTCCAACATTGTCAATTTTTTTTGTCATCATAAACTTATTTTAATAGTACCTGGTCACTTAAATACACCCTATATTACAGCTATAAAGAGAAATTCACTTTAGTATTATAGTCAAAAAGACTTATTGGGAATAATATCAAAAAGATATTGCTTCATTTATTTATTTATCATATGGGAATAACACTATAGCAGTGTTGAAAGTAATAAAAATTGTGCATTTGTGATAAAATCCGTGTGCTTTGTCCTTTAAAAAGGTATATTTCTCTGGTGCCTTATCAGTACTCAATACAACAGAGTTCCCCTTTTCTGATTGTTTTGTTTTAGAAGAGCAGTCTTTAGACAACTTCTACTAGTCATTATATTGGTAGATTATCCTCTTCACACTCTGTATAACCCTTGTTGGGTTATAAGTTCTACACTGGCTTAGGACTGACCACCCGTCATCCGTAATCCTACAGTAAGCCGTTGTTCCCTGTATAAAAATCACTCTAAAGGAGTTAAGATACTAATGTTCTTATTTCTTTGCAATACACTTGTAGTTCAACTACAGATCTCCTATTCCTCGTAACCAGAGCAATAGTACGACAGGACCTCAAACCTGGTAAGTCTAGACCTTACCCATTCATTCAGAGAAGAGCCACCCTGACAGCAGACACACATTATATTGAAAACAGATTGAAAACATCTTGAAAACATTTTGAATTCATGGGATGCACTGGCCTGCTAGTTACCAGTATTTGGTGGCTGTGATAGTAGTCCTTCTGTTTGACTCCTGCCAATTGTCCTTGACCATCACTTAGAAACAGTTGGATCATCTCCCTCATCCATCATGAGCAGATTGTATACAAGTCCTATGCAATTGTTATGTTTTTTTGGTGGATCTGGGGCTTGGACAGGAAGATGGTTTATTTTCATAATAGTATCTTGTCCTGCTTTGTCCTTGCATTCCTGTTGTGCTACAAAATGCTGGCTTGCTACACCACCTCTTGTCAGGTTTTGCCTTCTTTGTTAGATTTTTTGACATTGAAATGATTTCACCAAGTAAGATTCCAATTTAATATTGTCCAAAACAAGATCTCTTTCATACCAGATATGATTGAATGTGTTGGTCATTTGTTTGAGCATTCCAAGTGGCAAATGGCAAACCCTATGTGATAACAGAGATGTTTTTCTCAGACCAATGTTTCCAAGCCTGTAAATCTCAATACTTTCAGGAAAATGTTGATTCATGGATATTTAGAATGCCCAACAAAAACATTAATTTGTTCCTACCAATGATGTAGAGATAGGTCCAGAATGAGTAGGTTATATCTAGGACTTAGATTGAAATTGGGTTTGTCACTTTGTTGGTTTTATTGATTCTTTAGAATAGCCGCGTTCAAACTTAACCCGGTTGACACAAAAACCTGGTTACCCAGTTGCTTTGCTGGTGGTAACTTTGTGTATCCATTGACAGTTCTTGACAGCTTCCAGCCAAAAAGTCCACCAGGTCAACTGGGTTTTTTGAAACCGGGTCAGGTTTGAACACGGCTAATGAACTTGTTTTTTATAAGATTTACGCACTATAACCCTGGAGTCAGATTTTTGCAAACCGTAGTCTGAGAGAACAACTGGTGACAGAAACCCATGAGACCCTAAGGGGTGGAACTAACAATGTATCTACTTGAAAGAAATAAATAATAAGAAAATACAATTTAAGATCTAGGGTGGGATGGTGGGTGAATAAAAAATGTGTGTATTGATTAAGAACAACTATAAAATGTTGTAACTAGAAATTAGTTGATAATGAAATTTGGCAATCTAATACCTTCCTGAAACCTTCCTACAACCTTTCACACCTTGAGCTTGAGTTACCTAAGTTCTAAATTGTGATGGACTTGACACATACTTCCCTTTTTACCATAACAATAAGTCCAGAATGAGTAGGTTATATCTAGGACTTAGACTGACATGATGTTTCTGCAATGGGATACTTCTAGATAGCACAGACAAGCTGTGGAATTGGAAGGCAAGACAGGTAAGACACACAGAGGTCCATACAATCCCTGTAGAATTCTGACATGTAATTTGAGGAGAGTCACCTAGCCTAACTAAGTTCCTCTTGGCCTGCAAGATAGGGACTTATATCTTATCCACAAAATTTTGCACAGGAGCTCAAAAAGTTTGGCTGGAGACTTTTCCAACCACTTATCTCAATATCTTACATGAAATATCCTGTGGCACTAAGAAAAGTTTTGCTCATCTGCTTCTTCTACAAATGATGGTACCTTTAAATTCCTGCATTTCAATCAGGAGAGTGTTAAGAAAGAGACTTGAAAAAAAGATTTCTCTGTAACACTCCAGACTGCCCGCTGCAAGCCACTGACAGCTTTGACAGCTGGGTCAAAAATTTGTGAGATTTTCAAAAGATTGAAGAAATCTGCAGCAATAGAGTAAAACCAAAAATGATTTAAACGGGCATGTGTAGAAGAAGTAGATGACCAAGACTTTTCTTTGTACAAGAGGATATTTATTTGTAAGGTGATGAAATATAGCGGGTGGAAAAAGTCTCCAGCCAAAATTTTCCGACTCCTGTGCCAAATTTCATGGATAAGATATAAGTCCCTCTCTTGCAGGCTCGCTTGCCGAGAGGAACTTAGTTAGGTTAGGAGAGTCACCAATATCTTAAGTATGGGCACACAAGTCCCGAGCCCGAAGAATGGTGACTCGAGATAACAGATCTTCCGTATGGTGAGGATAAGATTGTAAGCTAAGAAAACAATTGATATGTAGCTAATATTTTCTAGACATACTTCCAAGCGCAGTCTTATCTATGGTGCTCCTCATGATGTTTCTCGGAGATAAGATTTCTTTGATGTCAAACAAACATACAAGAAGTATGTATAGAGTGACTCCGTAGGAAAAAGAAAGATGAAAAGAGAAATATAGGTCGTCATCAAATGCATATAGCACATTGATTGAGCGGTGTCTCTGACAAGTTTTATAAGTGATGGTCAGTGTAAGCACAAGACCCTACTGTCCACGCGAGGGTGGGCTTGTGTCAAGCTGGGATCTGAATGATTGCCGAGGTCTCGCGTGAGTGTTTTTAGGGAACGTCGGCTCTGTAAGTCCAAGGGTGGCCTTCTACCTGTTGCCAGATGTGTGCCACGAGGCAGCTTGATAAGATAAGTCTGCTGCTCTAGCTCTCAGAAACGTGTCTTATCTCGGTATGTACCAGTGTAGGTACCTGCCGCCTCGGATTTGTCATATTCAACTCTGCAAAGACTCCAAAACATCTCAATTTGCCTCCCCTCATATCCTCTAACAGGTAGATTAAATACGTAGCTCCCATGCGGTGCTCCCATGATGAGACGACGTACAGTCATGTAGTATGCTTGCATCGGTAGAGTCGAAGCAAGCCAAGCCGCATCTTTGCCTTCCCATTCACGTCCAAACCACATTTGACAAAGTTTCGAACCGAGATCAGAAGCCGGTATCTTGGCTCTTCTGAACGCTTCATTTGTGTTTCGAGTCTATCGATAAGATCAGTAAAATAAGATCACTCAATGGCATCACGCTTGAGTGGATGTGATCGACGCCGAGAGGTAGGATCAAAAGGCAGATTTAAATCTGCATCAGTCAACTTTTGAAAGTCGAAATGAAATCAAGCACTGGGACATGTTGATTTTCGCGATTCTCTTTCTCGCAGGCTTTGTGACCTCGTACCCACTTGTTCCTCTTTCAAAGGGATTTATAGATGGCCCAGAATCATATAACTCCCTGGCAAGCCAGATGATAGCAGATGAAAAGTTGTTGAAGAATTCGGCATCAATCTCCTCATCGAACGCCGCTGCACACCTCGTCAAGTCTAGACCAAAAAAGCAGTGGCAAGGATGTGGCATATTGTTGACTTGTTTGAATCCGACGCGACATGTCGATGATGAAATCATATTACGCGGTTCGAATATAGGTTCATCTCGCAAGCGCGTCCTTCCAGGCTACGTACCTCCGACGCCACCCAGACTCTCGATAGTTGATGATGCATGGGCCACCTGGAAGAAAGACAAAGCACTCGTGGATACCCGCGGTGAGTTCCTCAAATGTTTCAACTCATGATGTATACAAGGAATGAGCGGCTGACGCCTGAATGACAATCCGTAACGCGTGAGTAGAGCGCTTGGATCTCGCCGTTTTTCAGCTCTCTCATTCCCTCTCGGCTTCGAAGCCACCGACAAAGTCTCAGAGGGTTCTCATTCAATTCATGGACGACCTCTATTATGCCCCCAAATCGAGCGCAACGGAGCGGTCAATCATTGAGCTTATCAACCGGACAACTGATCTGAGGAATGAAGGAGTCAGCCTGGACAAGATTGTCGCTGAATACAAATTACAGGCGTATACACTGATTGAAAAGATAAGTTTAGATCAGAGTGATAAACAAAGGAAGCTCACACTGAGAACAATTGAGAGATTGCTCGAAGCCGGTGGTTTGTCGACACGCCCGCAGGAAGTGAAAGAGTCGCTTTCAGGTTAGAGTCACGTCTTATCTCCCTGATTTGTTAATCTTCTGTCAAATTTATGAGGTCTTGTTTTGATTTAGCTTCTGAAAAAGAACTACTTCAAGACTGGGACGTAATGGCTAGGTCGGTCATCAATAACATGGCAGCACTTTTTGAAATTATGGAGAGTTCCCAAGGCCACCTTCAAGAAAGTTTTAAGCGGGAATATCTGCAAATGCAAGCAAGAGTGACGAAAAAAAAAGTCTTTGATTTCTTTTACCAGCTCACCCTGACCTTGAGATCAGAATCTACTACTTTAGACGTTATATATGCATCGGAGCGGGACAAATTTCTTCAAAGATATCTAGGCCAAGGGGCAGCCACCGAAAGGAAACGCATGATCGAATATACTAATCTCTTGGAAGGAGACTTGGCTCACATGCTCAAAGGCATGGTCCGCCGCCAAAGTAAGTAGAGTTTGTTTTTTCTTTTGGAAAATTTGCTCAAGTTTGTTCTGCGCGCAGACATGTTTCCCGTCGAGATCATCCAGGATTCTAGTCATACTCAAAAAGGGGGAGAAGAGGTCCTTGAGGTTCACGCAGGCTCCTTGAAACACTTTCAGAGAATTCCAATACCTATATCAAGAGATCCCGGAGAGTTAGATTCTGCTTCAGAGGCTTCATTCTGAGTGCTCAAGGAATGGTTTCACTCTATGATCCTGTGGTCGAGTTTGAATTCTGCATTGCACAAATGGTTTGTATTCATATATCCACTTGATGAGTTTTGAGAGATGTTTGATTTATCATGTCTGGGGTGAATTTTTCATAATGAAAGTATTCCGCTACATGTACAATATTACTCAACAGCCACATCTATATACTCCATAGTTTTTTAGTTCTTTATATTCTTTCTAACCTCTTTCACCCTTTACTATAAGAATACAGGAGGGAAATTTGAGAATTGGTGTATACTATACATAATGGATTGTAATTGTTTCGATAAGACTGAGAAAATTAAAGGTTTGGGAATTTTACCACTTCTACAAAGGGAGTGAGTCAAAATGTTCAACCACTTCATTGACTAGAGAATACTGGATACAAATGACAAAGAAAGCCTTGATTTAGGCGGAAAGTATTGCCCTACGTATGTGCTACTCTGTCACCAAACTGCTCTAGGATTCTAGCTTTTTACTTTCCTTTAAGTCAAGTGAGATGTGTAAGTTTGTAGTGAATCTTAAAGTGGAGATAGTGCGCTGACAAATGCTAGGATAAAGGAAGTATGTAATAACATCAACCACAAAAAACTAGCCAAAATGTCTGTGTTGAACCCTTTATGATCATATTGTGTTTGTGTTGGAAGGAGCAAAATATATCCCCAAAAGATCACAAAGGAAAACATGGCAATTCACTTCAAAGCAAAACCATTTCAATTGGACCTCAACGTAGCATTGGAATTTACACCTTGTTAAAAGACCTTGTTTCAGTTCAAAGTATTTCTATGCATTAACATAACCACATTAGCATCTCTTTGATAGAAAAAAATGAAACAAATCTCTTGGGTAAATAAAACCAAAGCATATCAAAGAGACTGGTAATAATCACATTTAGTAAGATTTGGTGCAACAAAGGATGGTTCTGATCTTGCCGAGAGCTTCCAGTCCTTAATAACCTGAACTGGTGGGTGTGATAAAGTAGATACTTGTAGCAATGAAAGTAAAAGCCTCTTAAATGCACTTTGCCCATGGCAAAAGTCCAAACTGCTGTTGTTAAACACATGAATATAATCAACATGGGGTGCTTTTGAAGGGTACATCAATAGGAATTATGCTGTGATTGAAGTACTACGAAATTATGTGGATATATCAATTGAATGAATATATATGAGCAATATTGGAAAAGCTCATCAATCACTGTGAATACATAAACCCATTGATATATCATTCATCATTTATAAATGCAATCATAAAAATAAACATTTCCCTTTGATCAAAGTCCTCAACAATCAATTTGATATGACCAATATTGCTGCTTTTCATTAATCATTATGCCCTGCCCTGTTCATAGACAGTTGGATTTGGTGAATGTTTGAACAACAATACTACCACAGCCAAAGTATGGATTTCTGAATGGATCCTTCTGGATTTGCTTTCTGTAAAGACCAGTAAATAGACCGTTGGAAAATTTGAATTTCAATCAATCAAAATTCAAACCAAAAATGTGTAACAAAAAGAAAGAGGCCCAACAGCTGAAATGAGAGTACAACCAAGTACCAGGAAATGGTCGTGCAGGTAGCTCCTACCTTTTTGATATATAGATATGCCAAATGTTTTGTATAAGCCTTCATGTCATTCTCTAACAAGCTCACGGGCAAAGAGAGCCTTAGTCAAGTTAGGGTATACCTAGTTCAAGTAGACATATCAAACTTTCTGCCTCTTGCCTCACATTTATTCAAGAGACTTGGACTGTAGATTTGACCTAACTCCTGTTCCTCTTACTTCACAAGTAGTCAAGGTAGGCACTTATTGGTACATGTGCTCACATTTCCACCAGACAACAGCAATGTATTGGGTGTTTTTCCCTATATCCCCCACTATCAGGATCCAACACCTCACAAGATCTCTCTTCCAATCACTTATAGATCTCTTAAAATCTTATGTATCTCATAGTACCAGTTTCAGCTCACTACAGCTAGATTGACTTCTATCTCAATTCCTAGACATCTTATTTTTTGGGGGCTTGTTGTAGCACAGATTGTGGGTCTTGTTTTTGATTCAGGTGTTCCAGATACAAATTCATATATCTCTTCTGAATGAGTTCTGTGAATGCATTGTAGGCTAAACAATGCACAAGGACATGTAGAGTGCTCAGAAAAAGATCTCCGCAGCTGGAAGCAAGGTTTTATGAGGTGCAGAACCCCAAAAATGATACAAGGTAAAGGTAAACCGTGTTTGGGGGCAAAACCTGATTAAACTCCCAAATAGCACTCCCAAATTGAGTGTTACGATTAAAATCCCACATGCATGCTTTGAGCCAATAGTGTCCATGCTTGCATCACAGTTTCCACTACAAATGTGGTGGACATCTGGCAAGCTTGAAACTTGAAACTCTGCCAGATGTGTGTATTTTTTGTGTTTTCCAATTTTGAAAAAAAAACATCCACCCTGCACAGATGAATTTGAGCAAAACAAAGCTGGGAAAACCTTTGTTTCTCATCATCTAATTAAGATGACTGGAGTGGTCACTGGGTCTGCGGGTTGAGCTACTCACAACTAGCTGTACAGCTCTCTAATGACTGCTGATGAAATTGACCCCTTTAATTTGCCTTCAAAGAAAAGCCAAATGGAGTTGTTTGGGGGCTTACTTGCATCAAAAGCCTCCGACTGTTCTAGGAATTGGATTGGAGGTCTCTCAAGATTTTGAATTGCCACTCTTCTTCCAAGAAGCATCTGTGGATGTAGGTTTTGAAGCAAGTATGAACAGGTGGGGATCAATAATGGGTCATGATTAAAGTTGCTCTTCAGCACTCTTGATTCTCATAATAGTGTTATTTACAAATCAAAAACTGATTATATGATACTCATCACAATATCAAATATTCTTTTAAGTCATTTAATCATGATAAAGATGTATTAACTATACCCATTTCAATTGCCAAAAACACTTTTCTACTATTTATCAATAAAGCATAATGTGGATCTTTGTCATGCTGATAGCTCAGGGTTTCAAATCATAAGCACAAGACTCATGACCAAGTGGATCTGGGCTCATTCTGAGTTGTGTTGCTACTGAGAGGCTGAGTTTTCAAATACCTGCAAACAAAAACTGGCAATGTGGTGAATTCTTGCTGCAAAGTTAGCTCACTACAAGCCTGGCACAGTTTTGAAGGACACTTTTGCATTTATATATCCTATAGACTCCAGTAAGTTTCACTATATCTGTTTCATACTTATCTCATCCTTGCTCTCATTTTGACTTCCGTCACTTTAGGAATCATTAACCTCCTGCAGGATTATTTTTTTTCAATTCTAGCCAAAACTATAAAACCAAATTGAGCCAAATATATTTCTCCTTTTCCTCAATCAAAAATCAATACCATCTGCCCATTTGCTATTGTAGATGAATCCATTCTGTGTTCAACACCCTCTCAAAACTTGAGAACATCTTTGATAAATTCACATTTGGATCTTGAACCACTCTCAACTTGAACCTTGACCAAAATCCATCTCAACAACTTAAAATACAATCAAGAAATGTGCTCTAACAATTAATCAACTCTGCTTATTCCACCTCACTCATCCAACACTGCAACCACTCTGCTTTGAAAACACAGAGTGAGCACAGCACAAAACCACTAAAACACTAGCAAAGCACAGCACAATGAATTTACCACTGTGCTGAAAGTCCTGAATCTTTCTGTACAGTGGTAAATTCATGCCGCTTTTCTTAGCAGCATAGTGTCATGAAATAGTCTCACAAGAAGCAGACAGATCTCATGCAGAAGCACATCAATCAATCAAAAAAACATATATCTACCACAACAACAGTCTTGACTCATGAACCTTAGAATTATAGGTTGTAGCAAAAAAAATCTGAAACATTACAGTATGCTGGCTTGATCCTTCAATTTTCTTTCCATTTCAAATCCGTTTTTTCCTTCAATTTTTCTATCCATCAGTTCCATCTTTAAATCAATCCTTATTCAATCAATTCTCTATCCTCAGGTAACATACATTACCACTCAAAAGTGGTGAACTAAATCTTTTTAGATCCCATAACATCAGTTCATTAACAAAAAAGTGCAGCACTAATTGCATTAGCTAAGCTCTTCTACTACACTTTCCCTATCTAACCAAAAGAAATATCCATTGTGCTTCTCAAAAAGTGGTAAGAAGTGTATGTAGTGAAGTGCAGTGTTTGCAATGTTAACTTATCCCTTGACAATTTGTTAAACCTGCACCGTGGGTGGAGTCTGGTTTGTAAAAAGTCCAAAACAGCCTCAAAAAGATCAGGCTGTATCTATGACCCATGGGTGGCCAGATTTTACCTTGAGGCTGAGCAACTGGCCTCTGGATGGGTTTCACTCCCAGCTGTACTCACAGGCAGTCTGTTCTTAGGCTTTATGGGAGTCCTGTGTCTGCAGACTGCCCATTGTGCAGGCAGTCTATAGCATGACCACAGGGTGTCACAGAAAGGTCAAATCCAGTCACAGAATGGTCAGCATTTTTGAAGATAACTCTTGGATCAGGACCATTTCAGGACAGCCTGTGGTCCTGCTACAGACCAGCTGCACAATGAGTAGCCTACAGACACAGGAAGCTCCCATGGTGTAGCAGTTCATGATGCAGATTTTTACTGTGAACCCAGATTCCTCCAATTATTATTTTTGACAAACCTTCAAAATAATCAAAAACCTCTTCAACAATTTCAAAATTTCTTCATAAAATTTGTTTGTAAATCAAATTATCATCATAAAGCTACAAAACATCAAAACCAAAAGAACCACCTCATTTTCCTTCTAATCAATCCAGCTTTATCCATCCATCCATTCATCCGATCAATCAATCAATCAAAAATCTCTGTTTCTCTTCATCTGTCTCTCAAAATCCTTCAAACAATTATAGAATGAAATGCCACCAAAAAAAATGAAAAAAAGGCAATAAACCAAAGCAAAAAAAGAAACCAAAATCAAAAAAAGTCAAAAAAAACTAGACCAAGTTTGTATAAAAGTTTTGTTCATTCTCAACACCCAGATAGACAAAAAAAGATTTATAACAGAGTATACAAATGCTCCCTCCCCCTCCCAAAAAAAGAAGCTTTCGCCTGCTTACGCATAAGAGGAGAGATAGAGAGGTTTAAATTGATCTTGTTGAAAGATCAAGACAAGTTCTAATGAGGTCTTCTAATAGTAGCATGTCTTTTACTTGGTCTCTCATTCACCACATCCATCATCATCTCATGTTGATTTCCAACATCTTCATCTTCATCTTCACCATTCCTTTCATCAACAGAGTTTTCTACCATGTTTACCATTCTAGTTTGTGAAGGTGAAGTAGGATGATCAATAGGATACCTTCTCTTTCGAAAACTTTCTTCTGGATTCCTAACTGATTCCGGTAACAATTCAACAACTGAGCTAACTAAATCAGTCCCACCACTCGTCGTACTTCTTTCTCTATCCGTCACTCTTTCTTTGGCTTTTCCTTTACGTCCTTCAGTGGTTCCTCTAATCCTCCTACTTAGAATCGCATTGCTCGAATTAGTCACATGTTGGGATTGATGATGTGGATGGAATTGAGGTGGAAAAGGTGTGGCAGGGCTAAAGTTGTAATTTATTGTCGGTGGAGGTTGTAAAGTAGAAGGGGATATGACAGTTTGAGTGGTCAAAGTGCTAGTAGAAGTGGGTGGGACCGATGAAGAGCCTGTAGAGCGAGGCGCAGGAGCTGCAGATGCAGGTCGTAGAGAATGAGTATGAGGTGGGGTGGGACGACGTGGTGAAGTACGTCGAGTGGATTCGCCAGGCTGAGGTGCAAGAGATTGAGTAGAAGTCGAAACAGAAGGAGGTCGGACAGAAGCTTGCGGATTAGAGGCTTGATCATTAGGTGCAGGCGATCTAGCTGGATCTTTAGGTTGAGATGCTTGAGCTGGAACTGTAGAGGCAGTTGATGAAGTTGAGGGTGCGAAGCGGGTCTGTTGAGCATTGTAGTTCGAATGGTTCATAGCTTCATCTTCACCTGAATCTGCAGATTCGGCTCGTAAGGCTTCTTGACGTCGCTGTAGAAGTGGATGATGATGAGGATGCGTTTGAGAGAATTGGATCAAAAGTGATGAAAAGCTTGAACATTCTTACCTCAATATAATCCATGACCCTTTCGATGGTGAGTGCCATCCGTTGTTCCGAACGTTGAGGTCTTGGTAAATCAGTTCCATGGTCAAGTCCGGCCCTGATTAATCAAAAAAAAAATGGATCGATCTTAATTCAAGGAACAAGAAGAAAGCTTCCGATAACAAAAAGCACTTACTGTAGATATTCCAAAACGTCCTGAAGAGCCGCTGCATAACCTAATGAATAAGCTAAAAGAACGATCACCCAAAAGTGATAAAGTTTGGTATCAGAAAACGATATGAAAGTTAAAAAGAAGCATGAGATCGATTTACCTTTCCTACCATTCTCAGTAGCTCGTTTATAAAAAGTAGCAATTCCAAGTGCAGCAGCACGAAAGGGTGCCTGAAGAACCTGTTCAGCATCATATCCATGAAGAGGTAATGCAGTGGATAGAGATGGATGTAGTGAGTCCATGAGAGGACAAGAAGATCAAAGAGATTTGATTGATTAAGATTATAAGAAAGGTAAAGAAAGGAATCGAATGGATTGGATTGGATGAATGAAAAAGTGAGAAAGTATATAGGTTTTAGTTGGTAATTAAAAGTTAAGTAGTGATGATTGGTTGATTGGTTCGGTTGGTGAGTTGAGTTGAAGTTGAGTTGGGTTGATTGATTCACAATGTCAAGAACGTTGAAATTGGATTTTATATCTAAAACAGCTGACATCTCATAACATCCTTAATCTTTGACATTTCTAAATTCTATTCATACATAACCAAGCCTAGCTGTACATACAACTCAGCTTACACACCTCGTAACATCTCTTAAACGTAAAACAAACACTAAATCCAAACAGGCAATTGGATTTATCATGAGGTTCTCCCCTATCGTACTTGAACTTCAACATAGGATGAAAACCTCAGCCGGAACTTGAAAGTCTCAAATCAGTCCTTTAACCCATCTTTTTGCAACTGAAGATCAACTTTAATCACTACACAGCGATCGATATGAAGAAATTCAATCAACAGATGATCTCATTCTCTGCGCTCAGACCGCAGTGACCGCAGAGAGTTTGATTGCTACGATCATCACAAACACACCCGAACCGATAATCCATAGTCCAAAGATGCATGTAGCAGCAGCTTAGGCAGTCAAAGCAAAATTGTTGGAAACTATGTTTCTGGTCAGATCAGTTCACTGTGGAGCCATGACGTTTCGACCCTCAGCTTTGATTCATCGCACTCACGCGTTAAGTCTACATAAAACTCAAACTGTCTTGTTCAGGAGTTCAGAAGAAAACAAACAACTCAGCTAAGCTTTCCATCACAAGATCCTTTGTAAGTTATGCATCAAAGGAGTATGTATGTATAAACGCTCAATCTTTTATGTACGTATTACTTGGTGAGTGGATTGGGAAGATATCATTGATTTACCGAGTTACCACCCATCTTACCACGTTAGTCAAGATTTCAAAGATTCACAAGCTGGATTAAGTTTGATTCACTCCACAAGACCAAATCAAATCACAGTTCCATGATCCCAGTTGGGTACAAAGCTATCACCAGGAGTACATATAGATCTCCACGGGTTTGAGAGACATTTACCATGTTTATAATCAGGTGATATTTTTGATTTATATCGTATCATAAAGATCTAAACCAAATCAATCTCAATACCTTTATAACACAACTTTTTCACAGGATACATTTTATTTGAAAACGATCAAGACACTTAAGGAAAGTGGGAGCACTAGAAGGGCTAAAATGTATTTTTACAAATACAAAACTGATCTGAGCTCAACTATGCAGCCACATATAAAACCAAAGTGACAAGGGTAGCTTGAATAATACAGTCGACTCCCTCGAAACCCATACACCTCTTACCCCATACTCCCAGTTAATCCATGGAAATTTTGGTCCATAAAATTTGTAGATTGCCCTAAAATAACTCCCTTGAAAGCCATAAACCCACAAAAGCCATGGGGATTGGGGTCCATAAAAAGGTATGGATTTCGAGGGAGTCAACTGTACAATATAAAAAACCTGAATCCAAACAACTGTTTATTTGAAAGTTTGAGATTTGAATTTAGATTTCTTAAATCACAATCCAAGATCAGACATTTTGAGTATTAATTTTATAATCTCAGTCTTCAGTTTTGTTACATCCAAATGATTGACTTTCCAAGTTTTGAAAATGGTTCATTCATTGTAGAATCTGACTCAAAATTGCCTGTATCATTTTACATACTTTTATCCTATCTACCAGTGTTACAATTTACAAATCTGGTATCCATGGACTACTTTTCTTCTGAACCATCTGAATTAAAAATACAAAGACCTTGTTCTATGAAATTCACAAAGGTAATTTATTGGACATTTAGGATGAAATCAAAATAGATACTGTCACTGTGAATATAATATCCAAGTCTGATATCTTACCTTGGTTGATTTTCTCAGTGAGTTCTGATTATCGTGGATTACATGCTACTCATCATTCCAACTTTTCCACATGGATTTCTATTCCATCAAACCAAAATAATAGAAACCAACTTCATCAAGACTCTCAAATTAAGTTTGACTAGCCATCAAATAATACCAAAAGCACTCCAATTGAAGCACATACACAGCTTTCTTGAAGACATAAACGTAGAAGAAGAAATACTGCATACTAAAAAGAGATGAGTTTATCAATTATCATTCAATGGTGAGCCGTGTTTGACCAAAATGTGAAAGACTTGTTGAAGAATATTCTTGAGTGGATCAACAAGGTCATATGAAACACGATTGAGGTATTCAAGCCCACATCAAAGATGTCTCTTATACACTCAATCTGTTCAATATGCCTGCATTGATTCCATTCAGACTGGTGTACACATAAGATATATAGACCAATCAAAGACTTTTTTGTATGAGGGGATCCAGACTTTTATGATGTCTATTTGGATATGTACATAGTGCAATTTGAAAGTCCTAGATGATGTCACAACAACAGGACCAAAATCTTGCAAACATGTACTTTGGAATCCAAATAGCCATTTTGACAAATTGTCAAAACCTGTGTCACTTACAAATCAAGTATTTCATTGTGAGAAGAAAAAATCAGGTTGGGAGTGACTAAAAATGAAGACCAAGGTATTGCCAAATCCATATTCCTAAACCCTAAGATCCCAAAGGCAGGACAGAGAACAACACTGGAACATGCTAAGTATCATACAAAAAAATGATGAACTTTAACTCACATACATAAGGGCCCGTTTGGTACCGCACGATATACGTATATCGCTACATACTACACCAAAGTAATATACTGTATATTAGCATATACGTATATTGAAATTCCCAAAATAGAGGGTTGTTCGGGAGATCCTTTTCTCCAAAACAATATACTGTATATCACAAAATAATATTTGATTCTGATATACAGCCTTTTGGCTGTATATCAGACCGAAAAACGATATCTGCCCCTCTCTCTTTTCCATATCACCTCCTTCCTTTTCCATGTTGCTCTTTCACCCTCCATACTCTTCCCTTTACCATACATATGTACCATCCATCCATCCTTCCTCGTTTGCTCGTCACCATTTTCACAGCTCAGTCAAACAAAATCTCCGACTCTTCTTCTTCATTCCTATCCTCGTCTTAGTTCTCGTTTCGATCCCGTCCTATCCATCCTCGTTCAATGCTCATCACCCTTTCCCTTTCAAGACCACCTTTCGATTTTGATAGTCGTAGGCTAATAGCTCAGTTGAACATATCTCCGACTCTTCTTTATTCCTATCTCCGACTCTTCTTCTTTATTTCTATCCTCGTCTTAGTCCTTAGTCATTCCTATCCTTGTCTTAGTTCTTAGTCATTCCTATCCTCGTCTTAGTTCTTATTTTTCGGCTCTTAGTTCTTAGTCCTATTTCTTATTTTTCGGCTCTTAGTTCTTAGTCCTATCTCTTATTTTCCAGCTCTTAGTTCTTAGTCCTATTTCAATCCTCGTTTCAACCACTATGAGTAGCAGCAAGAAACCCAAGAAGCAAGCTCCGAGAGCCATCCGACCTTTGATCGTTTCGCCTTCTACTTCCACCGCTATTAAACCATCCTCTATATCAAATCCGATTGAGGATACTGAAGAAACTTCACCGAAGACCCCAAATCTCCGTGCCAAGTAGACCGAAGACAACAATCAAGCGATGATCGACGTCCTCAGTGCCGAACGTCAGCCAGCCAGCGGTCCAATCACACCTGAGAACGCGACCAGTGCTCAAGGGTGGAAGCCCACCACCTGGAACAACGTGGTCCAACGTCTCGCCGGAAGCGAGGTCAAGACCGTTGCTGGTGTCAAGCATATCACTGGCGTCAAAAAGATCGGGGCTTGTAAATCCCGCTGGTATGTGGTAAGTAGTATCCTTTCATTTATCAATCACTTCTATCCATCACTTCTTGGTTCTAACTGATGCCTTCTTTCAACTTTAGTTATCTCATCTATACGCGGATTACAAGTACCTCAATGGACTGAGTGGCGCTGGCTGGGAGGATGGCTGTGTCGTTTTACCCAATGCGGTTTGGGCGCCAATCATCGCTGATCAAGTACGTATTGATTTTCCTTTTATTTCTTTTTTTAATAATTTGTTGATGTTACAACTTCGGCTTTCAGAGCAGGAAGTCTAAGGAGCTCTTACAATGCCGAGGCCAACCGTTTCATCTATTCAAGTCGCTTGCTCCTTTGTTGGAAGGACACAATGCCACTGCTAAGTATGTTAGCAGTGTGATTGTTAAGGAACCTCAACAATCGATCATCGAAAAGGATTCCGAAGAACCCCACAACACACCTCCACCGAGGCATTCCTCTCTGCCCTCTCCCTTTGCCTCTCCTCACTTGTCTCCTTGCTCATCTCCTCATTCCGATCCTTTGGTACCTCCTGTCGATTCACATGACATCAACGAGTCCAGCTCAGAAGACGATACTACCGCTGCTAAACGACACCGCAAGTCCAAGGTTGCCCTCGCTGCCCGTGCTCCCATCAAAAAGAAAAAACAATCAGGAGTCGAGATAATGGACAACTTCTTGAGTACTATGCAAGACTTTGGATCAACCATCGAGTCCTCCATCACCTCAAGCTCAGCCAACATCAACCATGTGGCCCAATCCCTTACTGAACCTGCATCATCTCATGCTCAAGCGGTCAAGCTGGTCTATGCGTCCGATATGACTCGTCCTCAACGCTATGCTGCTGTAGATCTGTTTGCTGCGAAGCCTGTGATGGCCAAAACGTACCTTAACACGCCAGCTAATGAACGTGGCGATTGGCTCCTATACATCCTCAACAAGTAAAGTAAGTCTAAGAACTTCTTGATTACTTATTTAATATATACCTACTGACTCAATGATTCCATTGATCATGTCCCTTGAAGATCAAGTTTACAATATTATTAACTCATCTTAATACATACATGCTCTTACAAATGTAGTAGTGAATCTTCCTGATCTCAAAGAATACTTTAAGAACTTCAATAAAAAATGTAGTGACTGTGTGACTGTCTGATTAAATAAAACTTATTAAACCCTTCAATAAAAAATGTAGTGACTGTGTGACTGTCTGATTAAATAAAACTTATTAAACCCTTCAATAAAAAATGTAGTGACTGTGATTCTCCGATTAAATAAAACTTATTAAACGCTTCAATAAAATATTATTACCTACATTTGTATGTATACATGCTAATACAAATGTAATAGTGACTGTCTGATTGGTTAGTCATTGCAATGTTGATGAGTACAAGTGTTTTTATGAATTAAAAAATACTGAATGAAAAGATTCTTTTCATTGAACAAACCAAAGTGAAATATTTGATTGATACATGTAAGATAATAATGATTTTAACTGAGACTTGCAATGAATAATACATGTATAAGATAAAGATGCTTTGATTGATTGAGAGTTGCAAACTAAGAATTAAAAGTGCTACATATGATTTAAATACCAGGATACATAGGAGGTTGTCCATGTCTTTGTTTGCTTCGATTTACTTTTTTTCGTCTTTCAATTTCTACTAAATAATCATTCCACATGTCTTCTGCAATTCTATCTCTGAGATTCTTCGCATAGTTATTACCTTCAGCCGTGCTACCAAAGGCCTCAAGACCACCAATCTCTTCTTGAGTAGCGGGTTCTGTTGCTTCTTGAGGATCTGGCATAAATCCTTCACCAAACTTGGGGAATTATTCCGCTGAACCTTTTGGGTCTTTAACTCAAATGAAGTTGTGGATAAAGCACATGACAGTAACCATAGCAATTTGAATCTCAATGGTGTATCACACCCGTGCGCCATGATTTTGAAGCGCTTCTTGCAAACTCCAAAGATGCGCTCGATGACATTGCGTGCACTAGCGTGTCGAAGGTTGAACAACTCTTCTTTGTTGGAAGGTCTGCAAGTGAATAAAAGAAGTGGTTGAGAAGAATAAAAAAGAGAAAAGCATGAAAATGATGAAAAAGAAATCAATCTCACCTGAAACCTTTCTTTTCCCATTCTCGTAAATGATAACGGACTTTTCGAAAAGGAACAAGACAATCCTTGGTGAGAGCAAAGCCAGCGTCACCAAGATAATACTTTCCAGCGGGAATCGTAAGATCACGACTTTGAGCCAAAGTCCAAAGAGCACCGTTGGCCATACTTCCTTTGGCTCCAACCAATAAATAAATAAACTCCATGTTGAAATTACAGGCAGCAAGGACGTTTTGAGAAGTGTAGCCTTTACGATTAGAGAACGGAACAAACTCGGAAGCTGGCGGAGTGACCGGAATGTGTGTACCGTCAATTGCACCGATGCAGTCTTTGAAATAAGGCATGAACTTCGGATTCTCGGAGAAGGTATCCGTGAGAGGAGTGTTGGCATTCGGAAGAGGAATATATTTGCCAAGTAACTTTCCATCACTACATATTCCTTTAACAAGCTGATTGATTGTCCTAGTCAAAAGAAGACATGTCAGAAAGAGTGATGAGAAAATTCAAAAAAAAAGAATGAAAAAATTCACTTAGAAACAGTATCAGCTGATCTTTGAAAACGGTTCTGAAGTTTACGATTTGACAGGCCAGTGATGACACTATAGAGCAAGAGTGCCAACTTTTCCGTACTGGTAACCCAACGGGAGTCACTCAATATTCCAGAGTCTTCAAGAACGGAGCGTAGTTCGAAAAAGACATGTTTACGCATTCCAAGATTATCATGAAATACTGATTCATTTGGATGATGAATGAGCTCATCAATCCACATCTGACCGCTGAGCAAGGACGTGAGTCGTGGAGTTTTGGTGAGTTTAGGCCACATCTGTGACATACAGGCCTGTACACTAGTGCTAAAGTAAGAAAAAACTCGAAATTGCTTTTGTTGAACTGCAAGAAGTTCTTTTAGAAATTGTAATTTAATGATTTTTCTATGTTTAACACGTTTTTCAGCTCTGATAGCTTGAACTTGAGAAAGGCCCTCCATGGTGTAAACTTATGTGATCTGAATGAGACACTGGCAAATGAACCAACCCTTTAGGTGGTTGATGACCACGATGAGTGGTTTTTAAAATGAGTTGAATGATATGAACTTTATTCAAAACAAATGAGTGATGAACACGAGGAGTGAATTTTTAAAAAAAGTGATGGGTCTTGAGTTGATGATGAGTGGTTGATGACCACGATGATGAGATGAGATGAGATGGATGGATGGATGGATGGATGGAATCGAAACTGATTCGATCGATCTCAAAAACCGTCTGATGATTTTCGATCTTTGATCATTATATTCATTTCAAATTGTCGTTACCGAACACTCGAATGGTCATCAAGAGGTCAACATTGATCATTTTGATCTGATGATGACCATTTTGATCGGGTGTTCGGTAACGGTATATCGCTTTTCCTACCGAACGGGCCCCCTAACCTTCCAATCAACTGATATAAATATCTTTGATGAAACATAAAATATAATCATAAAGGACAGCACTATTTGGCGACCGCTTTTTTCGACCCGATGCCCGGTGGTTTTTGGGTACATATCCGCGGTTTTCTCGCAAACCCGGACCTGACTCTGCCAAATTTGGCCGCAGCCGCAGCAAATCCGGGCATCAAATAACTTCCCAGCTTCAACATTGGAAATAGGGCACTTCATCATGGGAAACCGGGCTATCACATCACCTCCGATCACATTCAAACCGGGCTACCACCTCATTGCGCACTTCAACCCTCTCCTAACACTTTGCAAAACTGTTGATAACTCGCTGGCAAACTAACTGACGATCCACGACTATATTGTTGGATCCGCGGACATCAACCTGTAATACATTTTTCTCTTATCACACCTTACCCGATGAGAACAATCAAGATCCGATTGTACTAGCTTTTATCAACGAAATCATTTCATGAGCTTGGGATTCAAAGAATCTCAATCTCTGACATTTCCGGAAGTTTTTGGCAAGCACCGTTACGCAGCAATGATTGATAGCACCAAGATACTGACTTGGATCGAGAGAAATCAAGATCAATTGCATAGGTGGATCAATGAACAAAAATGATCATGTTTTTTTGTGTGATTTTCATCTTTGTATCAATGATTGATTTGTTCTTGTGTGTGTAAATTTTCTCACATTTCTGACCCTAATACTCTATCACACTTGTCACTCGTTTGTTTTATCTTTGCTTTTTTTGTTTGTTTGTTTTTGAGATCAAATAAAAAAACGATCAATCTGTTGTATCTGATAAAGGGATCTTGTGAGTGAGCCAGTCAAGGTGTCAGTCAAGGGTTGAGAAAGGGAGTCACTCGGTGATTGACTTCATCAATTGACTAGTGAGCTCTAGTGAGCAAGAAAATCAGTCAATTCATTTGGTCAAACACAATGTTTGCTGAGCCGGCGCAATTTCAAATCAAACCGGGCAATGTTTGAATCAAATAGGGCAATGAATACAAATTACCCAAACTCCGGGGATCGGGTCAAAAAAAGCGGTTGCCAAATAGTGCCGTCCATCATAAAAACATCCAAGATCACAAGAATTGGTAAACAAAACTATATAGATAACAAACCCTCTAGAATCATTACACGCTAAAGTGGAAATTGAGGAACCAAAGATCAAAGAGAGGTGTGGGAGGGCAATAAATAGTCATTAGGGAAGCAAAGAAACTTACATCACAGCAGGGATGCAGGAATGAGTACCGAGTATGAGTATATACTCAACTGATACTCACTTTGTATGGGTTTACAGGGCCAAAAATAGGCAAAAATACTCAGTATACTCAATAATACTCACTTTACTGAGTAAACTCATACTCACTCCTGCATCCCTGCATCACAGATTGTAATTCACTAGTGAGAAGGATGGGTTGACAAAAGGTGAAGACAGTCAAGAAGGTACAGTAAAGAGTCAATGATGTTGATTGATAATCATCAAATTCAACCTGTGAGAAACAATCATGTTATAATGCAAAAACCATGTCATTCAACATGACTATCTGTTAATAACTAGTGGTGATCTTCAATGATGTGTGATAGTGGAAAGATGTTTGAAATCAGACATCCAGAAGGCCTCTATGAATACATAACATATCAAAGGGTTTTCAGGTGTCACTGACCCCATGTTCCTACCCAGTCTTGGGGAAATCACAGTGCTTGAAGTTGGGCTAAATGGAAAAGTGCTGGTACTATAGGCTGATGAGTATTGTAACATGAGAGAAAGGGCAAAGAGTAAAAGGAAAACACATACTTGCACAAAAGCTATGAAACAAACAAAGTTTTCAAACCCAAATCCACCACATCCCTCAACAGACATGCTTGCACAAAGGTGTGAAAAAAAAATGCTTTTTTTGTCAAAAAAAAGGTGCTTTTTAAAATCAACAGACAACAATACCCTTTGCTCCCATCAGATGGTAGTATTTTCCTTAGGTGTACTGTATAGTCTCATTTGATGCAACCTATTTAAATAGTGTTTCCATTCAAAAAAGCCAATGTGCACTTCTTTTTATAAAAAAAAGGTGGACTTGTGCAAGTTAAGGCTGCCAAGTTATCTTGGATCCAAAGATCAAGTCTTCACTGGATGTTAATTGCCTCAGACAGCCTCAGAGCTTTTGTCCAAAGCCTTGAACCAATCTTTGGCCCTACAGAGTGTTAGATCAATCGATCAGACACCAAAGGCCAGGGGCGATTGTTATCAAAAACCTCACTGATTCATGAATTCAAGGGATCCCTTTTTGATGGTAGTAACACAGATCCAAAAGTTGCTTCATCCACACTTCAGGCTCATATGGGAATGAAATTAAAATTAGATTCTTATATTAGGATTTAGATGATCTATTCAACCCGAATTTCAAAAACCTAATCATACCCTCTTCAAACCCACTTCATGCATTTGCACTGCAGTAATAAAATTTCTTAAACACTTTTGCAAATACTTCTCTTTGTTTTTGTTTATTTCAACTTTCTTTAAATCAAATAAGAAAAAAAAAATCGATCAAGACAAATTATTTTATGATTGAATCAAATTGATGAACCACAAGATGAGATTTCTAATTTTTTCTTTTTGTTGGTTGTTAAGAAGCAGAAATGATAGCATTAATTAAATCTCCATCATTTTCTTTTAATGCTTTAACTGTTGAAAAAAGAATCATTCGAAAAAGATTAAATATTTTCATCGCGATTAAGATTGTTTTTGTTTGTTATATAAGACCAAGCAAAAGAAATCAAGAGTTAGTAAAGTGTTAATTCAACAAAGAAAGAAAGATGATCGAAGCAAGAAAGATGTTTTGTTTTGTTTCATCACACTCGAAAGAAAAAAAAAGTCACAAGAATCAAAAGTATACTGACCCGCTTTGTTTCTAGAACAATTAACCTGAGTCATGACCGTTTCAATATCACTGGGATCAATTCCAGTCTCATCTGCCGGTTCTTGATCATCTTCATTCACATCTGTAATCTTTCCTGCGACTTGTTTACCAGCTGAAACCATTGATTCAGCACCGAATCCACCACCACCTCCTCCTCCTCCTCCCAAGTTCAAACCTGGAGCTGTTTCTTCTGTTTTGGCTTCTCCGAAAACTATGTAAACGTTTGCGGTGGCTGATTTGAAAACTTCTGCATTTGCAATCACAAAGAATTGTTGCTATTGGAAAGAAAGAAGGAAGAAAAGAAAGAACGAGTAAGTGGTTTGTGTTTTTAAAAAATCGAAACCGAATCAGGTTTGAATAAAGAAAGAAACAAAGAAAAGGGACAACCAAGGTTTGAAAAGATTCAGGTAATAAGTGAAAAAACGACTCAACTGATTTAAACTTTCTCATCGTCACTCTATTGATTCCTAAGACTTTCTTAAGACCAAGCTTAGCCAAAGTTTTACGTGCTTTACGTTCTGATTTGTTGAGGATACTATCATCACCTAAAGTATCATTGATGTCTACTTTTTGATTTGATACTTCATGATCTGAATCGATTTCTGTTAAAGTTGATGGTGGGATGGTCATGATGTTGATGGGTTGTGAAGTGAATTGGTTGTGGTGGTGGTGGTGGTGATGATGAAAGTGGAACTCTGATCGTTTTGATCGGAAGGTTGGGTTTGAGTTTTTAAAGTTTAACTTGTTTTAACCCATAGACTTTCGTTTTTCATTTCCCATACTTTACTCCATCCATTTTACCACTTCAAATCACAACACCATTTCTTAAGGTCAATAACACCATGACGTCAACCTCAACCGTCACCTCTTCTTCAGTAACGGAGAACTCAACTAAAGCATCAAGATAGAAATAGATAAAGAACATTCAAAACCTCTCCAATACCCTGGGGATCTTGAAATACATTCGAAATAATATTTCATGAGATAAGTAAAGTTGAGTGTAGAAGAATCATATGGTGTCTTTTATTTCTGTACATTCCAAAAACACAAAACTGACGTAAATTATGTTTTACCGAAAGATCATCATCATCATCATCCAAGTAAATTGTAATCTACGAAAATGAATGAAAAAATGATATGAAACCAAAAATTACTTAAGCTGGATCCGAATGGACAAGTTTACCAAGATTGATAATAAGATATTTAAATAAAGAATCAATTGAAAAGGGCAAAAGATTCAAAAAAATAATCATGATCTTGGAATGAAATTCGAATTTGAAAATTCAAGAGATTCGGTTCGATATCTAGCGTCATTAAATCACATCAAATCAACATAAGATTGGAGAATCCTTAAACGGGATGATTCTAATGCTCTACTTGAAGCTTTTGATGATCCAAGTCTTTCAGAAATTCAAAAGATAGTTTTAAATAGGTTCAAATTAACGACCGAGAATGAAGATTTGGGCTGAGACATTTGAATCTAGGGATTTAAGAAGTCGATTTAGAAGACGCAGGAGAACTTAAAAGGATTACTACACCAGAGCTGAAAATCTTATATTACTTGAGATATGGAATAAAAGTAAGTCTTGATCTTTAAACTCTCTCCATAACCAAATCCCTTGATTTATTCCTGAACATTGATAAGTTTTTCTTGTGATTTTCTTCGTAGATTTGATCGATCAAGTTTACGGGTCAAAACAGAAATTTCTTATCCTGAAAAATCGAAATGATAATTTTTGGGAATTGAAAGGTTTCGAATTCATTTCAAAACAACATTCTAATCATTAGTATATAACTTGGTTACAAAGCTTTACTAATATTCATCTATCAATCCAAATTTATCAAATCGACCTTGATCTAACAAACCATTTTTAATTTAAATACATATCCCAAGACATTTTTATTAGTACGGCCGTTTTTATAGAGCCTTCAATTATATCGACATCTGATGATTCTAAAATAAACAAGGAAGAAGTAACCAAAAAAAATCTTCTCATAAAGTTTCCGAAATGTTGAACCAACTTGTTATAACATGAATCAAATCAATCAATAATCTATCTCTTGATTTTACTTACCTAAAGAAGATGAAATCAACTATTGAATTCGAACGCTTCAGGGTTTCACTACCTAGGATTTCTTTTGTCCGGTTCTTAAGGAACACGATTCTTGAATAGATTTCAAAATAATGAAAACCTCCAGTTCGATGATCTTGAGCAAACTCTTTTCTGTATATAATCTTTTCTTTTCTTCATCATCTAGTTTTGCGGATCACTTGAATCAGTTACTAAATTATGGGGAGGGGGAATTTTACACCGAGTCATTTACACCGACTCTTTCGGTGTAAAAACAATCCGGTGTAAAATTCGAGAAAAGGGGGGGTATTTTCGAATTTTACACGTGTTTCAATTTTTTTTCGACTGTGTAAAAAAAAGCAGTGTAAAAAAAACAGTGTAAAACTCTTCTGCCCGGCCGTGATTTTTAATTTTACACTGGAAAATTTACACCGGAAAATGCTGTGCAAAAAAAAAACAGTGTAAAAGTCTTGTGCCCCGGCCAAGTTGAAATTTACACCGGATTTCTTACACCGAAGCGGGGCAAGCGGGTAAATTTACACCGGATTCTTT